CTTCTTGATAAAATAAGCAGGTCCAAATTACAATCAATCTAGTGGTAGAAAACACTGAGGAGGCATTGGTGTCACTAGTGCACAGAGATATTAATGCATGAGCTAAGGATTTTTATGCAAAGACGGGATAATGTCCTATAAAAAGTTCCCAATGTCTGTGTTGTTGCCATGGTGGTAGCTGTTGTGTAGTGCAGTCAAAATGAAATCTTGACGGGCAATTTCCACCACATCCGGAATGGCTATGAAAAGGCTGTATTTGCCAATCGTAATGTGTTGTAAACATTCAAGTCAATGTGTGAATTTCCACCGGCTTCTTTCTGTTTCGCTGTGGATTGCCGGATTCCACAGCTGATCGCAAGAGTTCTATTTTTTCCGGACGCTGGAGCATGCCAGATAAATTCAGCACAGAATAACCTCTGCTGAAAAGGAAGTTGGGCACAGACATAAAAATATGCAGCTTCTTTTCAAAATAAAACACTGTGTGTTTCAGGCAGATCGTATTTCACACAGGGCTGGGACGAACAACTGAGAGGTTTATAGACAGCATTTCATTCCGATGACACCATGGATGAGAAGACGCTGATTTTATAAGTCTAGAAGTAGATTTCCTCCTCTGGAAGGACACAATCTACTGCTTTTGTGGTTAGCCTCTGTGGCTAAAGACAACTTGTTATCGCGCAATTTCACATGAATCCGCGGGTTCTTGTGAGTTCTCGCGATTCCTGCTGTCCATAATCTGCCACGAAATTCGCCTCACAAACAGATCTGGTAGGAATTGGGGTAGGGTGAAAATCGGAGCCGTTCCGGGTCAGATTAGATCAATTAGAATTTCAATTATGCAAAAATCTAATACAAAGAAGTTGATTCTTTTTTGAGGCTAATATTATTGTTCACTTGCTAATGGGGACACACTCATCAGTCAAGGTAACTTTAATGGCTGCATCTGAGTCAAGTCACAAGTTCTGAAATTCAGGACGCAAACTGGACTTCAAACCCAATCCTGTTTTTTTGGGTACTTCAACACTGATATCAGGATTATTTTACAGATTTTCCACCACACCATTCAGCTGTTCTGAGTCACTGCAAGGATGTCAGTCCATGTTGCAGAGATGAAGGGTCTGTAATATGCCTCATTTCCATTCACCCCTGCTAAAGGAGGGTTAAGCCTTTAGTGAGACAAAGAAACACCCTCGGACTGTGGGCAGAGTTTCAGTTTGATGAGAAAGTTCCTGACGTCCAGCAGGAGCCTGCAGGCTCAGGTCATCGTGTTCCAGGCTCAGTTAAATGGAGCTGTGGCCCCAGCGTGCCACTGCTGTCAGACCTCACAGCCTCTGCACACAACTTCAGGGGCTTGTAAGAGGCCAGGGCTGATGGGTTTTTAGTCTCCTTGGGCAGCCAGCTGGAAGAAAACTGGAAGAATCCCATAGTGTGTGTGTGTGTGTGTGTGTGTGTGTGTGTGTGTGTGTGTGTGTGTGTGTGTGTGTGTGTGTGTGTGTGTGTGTGTGTGTGTGTGTGTGCATGAGCAGAGACACACATGAACTTTGAAATCCTAAAATGAAAAAAAGAAGGTTGGTAATTATATTATACTTCCCTTTGGCTTGGCTGAAAAGCTTAAGTTACACAGCTGGCTCTGTCTCCTCTCCGAAAGCAGAGCGAGGGACTGTGTCCATATTGTATAGCCTCTATAAATGGTTGGTCAGAACACTGTGTGTATGAGGAATAGTGTGGAGCGCATGTGTAGCAGACCTTTTTCAGATCACAAATAGCAGCCAACTGAATAGAAGCTGTGTGAGCATGGGTGGCTCGTACAAGAAAAGGGAATGGTGAAAAACAATCTTTAAAGGTCCTATGAGGAGGTTTTTGATGTCTGTGAAACAGACTGACATTCATACCAGAGCCTTTTCATGATTTCTGAGAGCAAACAAGGCCATCAGAGACAAAACTCCAGATCTTTATGTCCTTATTTATAAAGCTTGAAAGTGGTGTGAGGAGGTAGATGTCAGCAGAGCAGCTGAGAAACGCTGCATGTTTGAGGGAGAGATTCTAGCTGCTGTTTGAAAAGCCAGTATTTAGAAACAGCATATTTCTTTAAAGCTCCTGTTAGAATTTTTTTGTGTCTGTGAATAAGCCAGAAAAATATGTTGATGCCTTTTTATTATATCTAAAATTAAACAAGACTATCAGCAACAAGACTGAAGAGTTTTATGCTCTTATCTTTAACACTTAAAACTGGTGTAAGTAGGTGGGTTTCCTCCAAGGAGCTGAATCAACAGCCCTGTTTTTACATTTTCTAGAAAACAAAAAAAGATACATTTGATAGCAAAATGATGATTATTGTTATCATTATTTTGTCAGGAGTCACTTCTTAAGCCTGAAATTTAGCTAAAAGTTCCTCACGAGAGCTTTAATACCTGATGAGGCAGTGAGTTGATTTTATGATTTTATTAAATACAGTAGATATTTTACACACTGCTCCTTTAATTCTGGGTTGCTGTGGAGAGTAGGGTCTGAGCTTTGGTTTGCAATGATGACAACTTATGGAGTGCACACAGTACCCATAAAAAAAGCATTTGTTCATGGCATCCATGACTGCATCCTACTGTACTGGATTCTAGAAAGACTTGGGTTACCTCATCATCACGTAGATTTCTACTTGCTGGTGGCTAAATCTGCATTTGATTTTGTTATGTATGCAATATGTACCTGTACATATATTTTTATATTTTGCATATTTAATTATAACTTCCCACCCATTGCTATGGAAATATAACCCAAATGAAAAATAAAATTAAAAGATCATCCACAGAGAGCTGCACATAAACTATTAATCTGCAGAGAGAACAGCACGATAAACCATGAAATCTAATTATGAAGTAGGTGTGATTGTAGAGGGTATATATACTCCAAGACGTGTGAATGAGACGTGATGTACTGGTGAGGGCGGATCCTCGGATCTTGCCAAATGTTCTGAGTGTTATTCATGCATAGCGGGAATTCTAGCTTCATCACAGCATGAGTCTCTCTTTCAAAGTCACAAATCCACAGGCTCTGTGTTTGCCAACATGGATGTTCTTCTGAGGATCAGGCTTGTGTAAAAATGAGCTCTTGAAGTCGAGACACTTCATAATAATCTACTGAGGAGACATAATAATCCAGGACAGGGACTTGTAGCACACAGAAAGTGTTGATTCATCCTGGTGCATGTTTGCAAAAGCACCAGCAGGACAAGTTGAAAAGTGACATATGCAGTAATTTGTTGAAACAGGTTGTGATTAAAAATGAAACAAGATAGGAAGAAAATTTGGTTAATTCTTGACTTTCTGAGAAGATATTTTTCTAATGAATAAAAGCAAATTGAGCTGAAGGTGAGGACTCTGTGTTGGGGAAGGTATCTGCAACAAAATGAATCGTAACTTTGTGTAGAGGAATCTGCAGATCAGTTGGTCCAGGTTTGAGTTTTGGCCAACGTGAATAGGAGCAGTGTGAATTACTCTTTCTATTGTACGTTGAAGACAAAATGGCTGTCAGGCTGAACTGAAATTGAAATGTAAAATGAATCTGAATTGTGCAAACTTGAATTGATTTTTTTTTTTTTTTTAATTTATGGAAAAAAGAGAGTTGAATTTCATGTCGGTGAAATACAATTTCAAAGCAGATAAATTCAGAATTAAAATATTTAATACAGTTTCAAATCCTGCTGTTCAAATTCAACATAATTATTCAATTTCAGTTTCTAGAGGCACCAATCTCAGCCCATAAAAGCAGCTTTAGTCGATTTGTTGAACTCTTTCACACATTACAGCAGGTGTAGTTGTGGGTTAGAGAAGTAGCAGGCTCTTATGCACACAACCATCCTCTTATCATGTGAATGGGACTCTGGTATTGAGTGTTTTCTGATGACTCCCTGAGCAGGTGGCTTTACCGAGTCGAACGCCCTCCTGGCATGCTCTCAGCTGCTCCAGCATCAGCTGCAAAGATGGTGGAACACTGCTGGAGAGGACTTGTTGATTTTTTTACCCTTGATTCCTACTCAAGATCAATATCATCTCAAGTCTCCTTCAGTCCTCTTACTTTCCAGGGTTAATCGCTGACAACGAAAAGCTCCACCAATTTGTAGAGACCCCCGCTTTCTAATCCTTTTTACTTTGTGGGGGAGAAATTGAAGGTTGTTGACAGGAAATGTGTAAATTTGGCACAGAGTTTAGGTCACAGCATTATCCCAGCATGTGGACTCACCAGAGGCGGCCTGCCCCTGCAGATTTGTGCAACAAGCCGACATTGTGAGGCTTGGCTGATTTGATAGTCAGACATTTTGACTGTGTTTTTCATGTGACTAAAAGGAAAGCAGTGCTTAATACGGTGCCTTTAGGGCCTCTTCTGCTCCCAAGGTTGTGATGTGAGGAGTCACTTTTTGAATATTCCCACAACATTTACATACACTGTTTAATAATTCACTCAAAATGATAAGAAATGTGGCAGCCGCTGTAATATACATAACTATCTCTAATGGTATGCTGAATTTTCTTTAGCGGCCCGGGGCATTTCGTTCGACATCATAATACTGCAGTGCAGGAGTCACTTAAGACTTGCAAATACACTGCATCATGGATGAATGGTGTTGACCTTGTTTTAAAATGCATGTTGTGGAATAATCAAAGATTTTTTTCTATCTTTCAGAAGGCCTCAAGAGACTGCACCAAGATCAGAAGTTGCAACTAATAAAGATCAAACAGTGGCTTAATAATTTAATTTTAGAACGAGTTATTCTTGGTTCCTTGACCAATGTATGATCAAAGTTAAACTAGGTGGATACACCAGCTGAAAGCAGAGGGGAAAAGTTCAGAATGCACTTCAAGGAAAGAGATAATTAATCTTTACGTCGTCCTCTCAGCCGCACTGCAAAGAGCTCACACCGTTCTTGAATGGAGAGCAGAGTGCTGTGACGCTGATGTCCTGAAGAGGCTGAGGAGAAAACAAACAAACAAAAAAACGAAGACGCCTGAGGTTTGGGGATTAGGCCAGATTTGAAGAAACAGTCAGCCGTCTCTCTCACAACAATCTTGAAGACAATGAACACACCACAGTAGGCCCACCATCTGTTTGGGAGGAAGACTGGAGTCTGGCTCTCGCTGTGGCTAGTGAGACATAATGAGTTGCTGCTATTGCTGAATTCAAATGCATTTTGTAATTTCAAATACAATTTGGCAAGCATTCAGCAGTGTTATTTATTTAGAGTTAATCAACAGTTCTCTTTCATGCCCCCCCATTAAGTAGTGCAGCACAAAGAACATCATGAGCTGCATTTTTTTGGTACAAGAAGCCCAGAAATTGTCTTTACTTCCATCTTCTAAAGTGCTGAGGCAGTGACATATGAGTGTTTTTTTTTTCAACCATTGTTGAAAAACTAGAAAATCGACATCTATAAAATAGACTGACTTTTTTTTAATTCATTTTTATGATAAACAAAAGCCAGAAACGGCATCAGCGGCTGGGTTGATAATTTTTACACTTCAATTTTTGGTCCCTCCAACTTGTGCAAAGGGCCATAGGTATCAGCTGAGCAACTGTTAAAACATCCTGTCTCTACAGTGCCTACGAGAAGTATTCACATTTAGTTACATTTAACTGTTGAAAGTCAACAGGATTAGATTTTTTTCCTGAAGATGCCGTCAAAGCATGTAGAAACCAACTTTGTCCACAGGGGGTGCCAAAGTTCCTTACAGGAGCTTTAATTAAAAATAGTTTAAATGTTGAAAAAACAAACAAAAAGCCACAACTATGTAACATTACTGTGTATAAAAAAGGGCTTTACAGAGAGACTGAGTCCCTTAGGAGTAAAAATGGGAAAGTGTTTGCCACTATGTGAGAGACTGCGGCAGGAAACAGTAACACAAGTCCAAAGTAATTGTCCTCAGTGTGAACTTTAACAGAGATTGAGGATTTCATCAACTATGGCTCATGTTATCATCAAATACGGAAGGATTTGGCTTTAGGTCCTCAGGTAACACTGCAGTAAAAACAGAGATGACTTCTGGTGGAAATCACTGCAAGTGCTTAAAATCACTGCCTCAAAATTTCAGAGTTGTGGCCTCTAATCCTCATGTAAATCAAGTTTTACTGTTAGGTTAAACACTGAGATCTAGCATAACCAATATGAATAATGCATCACCAAAAGTAGACCAGTTATGATAGAATGTTGTTAAAAGAAGAGGTGATGAAACACAATGGAAAACATGACCCTGTCCTGACTTTGGAAGCATCACATTTAAAAATGAGCATATTTTGTTCATAAGACCAAGTTTTGCAGTTTTAACATTTGATATGTTGCCTTAAATACGGCCAGAAAGACTCCTGCCATCCATTTCATGGCTGTAAAAGACAAATTCACCTAAACCTGAAAATGAGAACTTGTGATTTTTTTTTCCTGGAAAGTACCACGCTGTCAAAACTCTACGAAATAAGAACTTTTATTCATAATATATTCATACTTGTACACAAGTAAAATAAAATGCATATCTATGGTTCCATTGCAATCTCCATGAACAAATCGACAGCATTCGTTTGGTAAAATGCTTCCCATAATCCCTCTCTATCATGAAAATAGAACTAAAAATTGGGGAAGGTAAAACATCTGTTTTTATAAACATAAAAAAAAAAAAAAAACATAACATTACCCAACAAATGCATCACTTTGAATAAATAATGGGGGGGGAATCGTTTATCTTCATTAAACGGACCCAACATTCTTAGTGTGCGCTCTTTCTCTGATTTTCTGTTTTTGTTTTTTTTCTTCATTTCTTTTTTTTAATCCTTCCAGTCGTCTGTCTCAGCAGTAAAAGCTTTTGAGAGGGAAAAAGGGAGGGGTCTCCAAAGTGTAGCTTAGACACGGTACAGTTAAGTACATAGAGAACAAACAATTTTGGGCACCAATTCATTATATACATTAGATCTGTAGTGTTCTGTAAAGGCATCCATTTTGTTAAATGTACTCTAACGTCCAGGTCATTGCTTGTCCTTGCCCATGTGGGGTCAACATGACTCCTCGCTTTTCAGTCCCTGTCTGTTGTAGATGTCACTGCATCTTCTGTTTTCATTGTCATGAGCATCAACAATCTTAAGTTCTGTGTTTAGAGTGAGATCAGGAGTCCTAAGACATGGCTAGAGATATCCAGATCATGGGAATGACAAGAGAGCGCAGCACTTGCAAGGTGGCACCCCGGCCTTTGACGCAGTGGGCGTCTGATTTGGGCTTTTTTGAACACTTCTTTTTCTTTTTGTTTGACGCTGTGGATGATTCCATATTGTCTAGAAGATCTGGGTTTAGATTTTCCAAAGACTTGTCCAGTGTGTTGGACAGGGTTCCCAGCGGTCCATCATTCTGCTTATTCTGGGTCTCATTTTTCGTTCTCTCCGGCTCCTTGTATTTAGTCTTGGACATGTTCTCTTTCTCCTTGAGAGGGTTGTTAGTGATTTGGCGGCTCTTGCCAGAAAGTATAGAGGACTTGTCGTTGTCTCCAAGGCAACACCTGGGAATGGCATCCCCAAGAGGATTTTCGGTAGAGGGGAAATTCCCAGCCTGCGCCTTGCTGAACAGATTGGTCTGAGTTTTAGGCGTTTCCACACACCCATCCAGGTCTTCACTCTTCAGCTGTTTCAGGTCCTTTCCTGCCAAAAACTCGGGAACATTGCACTCCAACTCAGAACTGGAACCCTTGAACCGTTTGAACCACTCCCACAAGGTCCTCGCCCGGCAGTCACAAATCCATTGGTTCCCATTTAACCGCAGATACTGAAGCGTCACCAGAGGGTCCATGGTCTCTCCTGACAACACAGTAAGGTTGTTGAAGAACAAGAAGAGGGTTTTCAGCTTACCCAGGTCGCTAAAAGCCCTTGGCTGGACAAAGATAACACGGTTCTGGTGTAAAAGCAGACGGTCCAGATTGATCAAGCCCCGAAACATGTTGTCCGTCACTATCTTGATCTTGTTATTGTGCAGGTAGAGATAGGTGAGGTTAGCGAGGTCCAGGAAAGTGTCATCATGCAGGGTTAGAATGTTATTATCCTGCAGGTAAAGGTACTGTAGGGAAAACATTCCTCGGAAAACTCCAACAGGGAGCTCTGACAGGCCACACCTGTGCAGGTGGAGGGTATGCAGCTTAGTTAAACCCCGAAAGGCTGTAGGGCTAATGGTGCGCAAATTGCTGTTGTCTCCAATGTCCAGTTCCTCCAGTTTTTCCAGGCCGTAAAAGGCTCCAGCTTCAATGTAGCTGATGTTGTTGGAGTAAAGCCAGAGGACGGTGAGGTTGTGACAGGAGCTGAAGCTGGTGGATCTCACCACTGTTAGCTTGTTGCTCTGGAGGAATATCCTCTGGCTCCGCACAGGGATCTCAGTAGGAATTGAGAACAGTCCTTGTTGTTGGCAGGCCACAGTGGGTCTGGGCTCACTGTAGCACACACACTTGGCAGGGCAGCTGTCAGTTTGAGGCACGAGGTTCAGCCACATCACCAGGAGCAGGAGTCGCCCTCCTATGGAGACAAAAGGAGAAAACATCAGTTCGTTAGTGGGTATGTTCTCTAAAGATTCAACTTGTTTAAAAATCTTCCTACCTTCTTGAAAAACTTGTGCATGAGTATTATTTGATTTGATTTATGCCGAGTGAAAATGCCCACATCATCAGTTTCCAAGAAAAACCCAGAACTTTTCTTCTCAAATGGTAACTCTCAGCTCATTACTACAAAGCGGGAAATCCTCCTCATGAGTGACTCAGCCTGTTTTTGAGCTCTGATGTTATTTAGATCTGGGGACATATCCCCTCCCCGCTGTCTCTGCCGACAGGAAGCCCTGAACAGCTGTGGAGAGTCCTGTGAAGACAGCCTCATTTAAAATTGGGTGGGTGGCTTTATGTGGAATTAGCTTGCCTCTAATAGGGCGGACATAACTAATGGTGTTTCAGTGCTCCTGAGGTTGACATTTAGCCTGACGCTGGGAGATAAGCTTTCATGCCAGGCTAGAAGATTGATGCCTAGAGCCAAGATGGAAAGAGGTTTACAGAGTTTCCACTGCACAGGCTTGACTGAAGCATTTTCTTTTGCGTGCAGCATGAAGACAAGATACACAAGAGGTGTGGTGATGCTCTGAGGGAGGCTTGTAAAAAAGCTTGTATGCGTATGCCCAGAAGGCATCCATGTTTAAATTGAGGCATATTCTGCATTTGCTTTCATTAATAATTTCTGCCTGTTCTCTTCATGGTTCAGATCAGCCTCCTGCATGGTGAGTGAAATGGGCCGGATAACCTCATGTGAATGATCACTCCTGACATTACATGGGTGCATGTATGGCTGATGAGGAGCATCTATCAGGGCTCAGTCAATCTTTCATGTCTAGATAATGTTTTCAAAGTGTCACTGTGAGGTTTTCTGTCAGGCTACAATGTCAGGTGCTCATCCAAATCTCTGAATCCTCCCCCTGTCCTTCCTAAGGATTTCCAATCCCCGCCTCTGTGCACATGTGAGGGCTCTGAGGCTTGCAAGCATGACAGGTAGTAAAGCTTTGGAAAAAATGCATGAGCCTTACTCAGCCCTCCCTCCACCTCCCCTCTCCCTCATCTCATTCCTCCTGCTATGTGTTGTGGTGCAGCTCATCTCTGGACCTTGTTAAACGGAGCTCTGGTGTGGCCTGACAGCAGCCCTCTGCTGCATTTTCCTTCCAATCTCCCTGCTCAGCCGTCAGAGTGCCACCGGAAAGCTGTCAAGACTTCCCACTCTTTCTGCATGGCAGCACTTTTTCCCCCTCAGTACTGCCTAACAATAGCAATATTTTATCACACTGCACGCTTCGTGTATCTCTTCCGCCATCTTTATTTTTTCCCTCCTTCTGCTGTCTGTTCATTAACAGGCTATTTCCACCCACGTATTGCAAGTCAAAGCCCGGTTTCCTTGGCTCTCTGTGTAATACATCTTGTCTTTGTTAGCATCTGTTGAATGCCACCATCAGCCCCTCAATGTCATCAACATCGCCCCAATTATTTCCCCTCTCACTCACAGCATCTCTAAATCTACTTCACACTGATTGCATTACCATACCATGCAAACACAAATCTGTGAGTCATGCCCTCTTGCCAGCTTTGTATCATACACTGTCATTATAGCACTTTTGCATAACCTCTGTGTGACTTCTCAACGAGACCTCCCACCTTCCACCCCAGAGGCTTGTGTGTTGTCTTAACACTATCGACCAGACAGTGATGCATGTCTCTTGTCCTCTTATTTCCATCCTGCCTTTACTTCAAATCAAAATCAAAGCACCGATTACACGAGTATTAATACACAGCTTTTTGTCTTCTTAGATATTGTCAACACAAACTTTAAAAATATCAAGGCTGTGGTTGAAAGAAAAATCCATTTCTTATCGTCTTCTGCCAGCTTTGGTTTCAACACTTAATCTTCCTCCTATCTGCAGTGTCAAAACAAGGCTCAGAACACTGCTTTGCTGCTCCACAACCTGCCAGTAGCATCCTTTCTGAGAGCTGTATTATACCCCAGTAGCTATCTCCACTCAGTTTAGGACCAGACAAGCCTCTTTGTTTCCACCTGACTGACACTGGGGCCTCTTCAGCTTTCAGTTAAGTCCAGTGCTTTTAACAGAAAAAAAAAAAAACAAGTGCTAACACACCCCTTCTGCACTTGTTGGTGTGTGTATTTTGCAACCAGTATGAGTAAACAAGTCTTGAGTACTACTCCCTAGCTTTTTGTAGTTAAAAGATGAGAAAATAATGCTGTGACATCAGCTGTGCTTACAGTCTGCAATGCCCCCCTGCTGTTCACTGACACTGTCTGCAATACTTATCTTGCTAGACCTTGTCCCTGCTTTTCACACAGTCAACCGCTCAATCCTCTAAAAACATCTTGAGCATCTTGTGAGTACAGGAGGATCGCACACCACATACAGATCCTTTTCCGTTCAATTTTCCAGTTACTTTACATCTGCTCTCATCCCTTTTTATTTTTTGTGTGGACCCAAGGAAGACTAGCAACTACTTTGTGTAGATCCTAACAAAAAATCAAGAATTTCCCGTGGAGTGCCTCAGGGCTCCATATTAGGGCCTATCCTGTTTGCCCTCGACATGCTCCCTCAAGGTTCCATTCTCAAAAACACAGTATTTCATGTCAGCTCTATGCAGATGATACCCTGATTTCCCTTTAAGCAAAATCTCAGTTTGATCCCTCCTAACTGCCTCCTCTGTGTCAAACAGTGGATGGCAACTAACTTGGTACAACTCAAGTGATTTACAACAGAAGTGATTCCGCTCTTATTTCCACAACTCAGCTCACTTCTTTATGATTCATCATTATTACATTTGCCTCTGTTTTTGTAGCATCAGGACTTGTAGGCTTATATTGTGCCATGATATAGATCGATGCACTGTTCATGATAGCATTCGCTATGGCCTGTCCCTGATCAAACCTTTCTTTGTCCCTTGGCCCTTTAGGCACAAATACTCAGTGTTCAACTTATAAAATAATAATCAAAATTAAAATTTGAGTAATTACTCTTTAGGATACTGAAAAAGCCTTGTTACACCTCGGGGTTGAATTCAGAAGTGGCAGTACTGTTCACTAGAGTGTTTTGGCTCACTTGAAGCGCTGGTTAAGTTTCCCCTTTTCCATTTCACCTTGACAGAGTGCGGCAGGTTAAAGAATCTCAAACAACCACTTTTTTGTCTGTGATACAGCTTCTTTGCTCGACCTATTAAATTGTATGTCACAACAAATCCTCCAAAACCATGTGATGTTGCTGGTTGAGACATAACTGTAAGTCAGGCTGGTATTGGCTTCCACCACAAATTGGACATCGGCCTTTAAGTGTCCCTCGCTTGTATCCTAAAGGTAAAGATATGATTTTATTACACGAGCTCCAGGGACGACAATCAGGGAGTATGACAGTGAAACCCATTCTGTCCTTTCTTATCAGCTCAAGAATTCTATTAGTATGGATTCCAGGAGAGAGATCTGTCCTGTGGTCAAAAGAAAAGATTAAATACAGAGAGAAGAACAAGTAGGAGCATGAAAGTTGCCAGTGATGGAGATAAATGGTATCATCACTCTGCAGATTCACTCCAAATATAGTGCAATCAGATCTCATGTTGCAGCTAGAGGACACAACATTCAGTAACAAAACAGAGAGGTGCCCACAGGAGCGGCACGAGTGGGCTCAGACGGCTTTGTTTACTTATTCTATGAGTGCATCTCTTTGCCAGACTCCTCGCTCATTTGCATGAGTCCCTGGCATGTTCAGAGCAGGAAAAACAAACTCCCAGCACTCCCTTTGTCTTATTGTGTAAATACAACACGTATTAGGGCTCTTCCTCGTATTCGGAAACTTGCAGTGAACACAGAGGGCATGTCAGGACGGCATTGAGATGAGCCTCAGATTCATCACGGTGGCTTTACTTTGAAGGGCCCAGGATTGGGCAGGGGAGGCTAACATGACAGCGTTATCCCCTCGGCCCCGAGTGGAAGTGATGTCTATGTCAGAGATGAATCACAGTGGCTCTCCAGAGGGACCTCCTGGCCTCCTTTCTAAAATCATACATTATTGTGTTGCTCAGAGGAAGGCCTGCATTTAATATAGTCATGATCCCTCTCTCTAAGGTCATGTATCTTGTGTGAATCCGACCATGCATACATAAATTGTTTTTATATCTCTCTGAAAGAAATAACTTAGAGTAAGTGTATTGGATATGACAGTTGTATGTGGCCCAATTTTAGCAGCGCCAAGGAAGCTATAAATGACTTTGTGAGCTGCGGGTAATAAAGGGCAATCACTTGGTGCAGCAATGACTCACAAACTCACAGTTCACTTTTCCTCTAAGGAGTCAATGCAGAAACAAAGATCACATCCCACGCTCCTTGGTACGACTCTGACCCCTTAAAATGATTAATTTTAACTTTGTGACCCCTTTCCACACAGGAACACCTGATATTTTCTACATAATGTCAGGACCTTCAGGCCCCCTAGTTTACATAATCACCTCACAGATGGAGATTATCTGTTTAATACTCCATTTAGTTTGGGAAGTGAGGGAAGAGGCGACTGGGTTGTGTATGAAAAAAGTTTTTTGTAATGTTGGTTGTTTTTGTGTTACTATCACAAGAATCCAAAAAAATAATCTGTGTGGTCTGGACCATACTCTATTTTCAAAGACCCAACATAAAGATGGGATTAGATTAAGATCAGGCCCAATCTCATCCCGTCTTCAACCACATGAGTGTAGCACTATGCAGCCTTTAGCAAGTTACAGTGGACAGGAAGAACTTTCTTTAACAGGCAGAAACCTTGAGCAGAACCAGACCTATGTCAGACAGTCATCTGCTGAATCTTAGCTGGCTTTAAAGGGGAGTGAGAGGAAGATGAAGAAACAGAGAGAGATGGACAGAGATGAGACTGATGATAGTTGAAGCTGGTAGAGAGCAGGCAGGTCCACAGCTTCAAAACATGGACCTCAAAATTGCAAACCAAGTTTATCTATTTGAGGTAAAATAACTGACCTGTAGGTCTAAGAGTCAGGAAATAACAATATGTGCAAAAAAACTAAAAGTTAGGAAAGATGACAAAAAAAGGGTAACGTCTCGTGTGGGGCTCTTGCAACACTTAAAAATAATAATCTCCAAAAGACCTCTTACTTTATAGCAACTGGATCCTACCAAGAGTCAGGGGTCAATGATTTGTGATCAATTATGACCCCTTGGGCCCTTATCTGGTCTTCATATGCTCCAAACATTAGTAATGGGGTTACAAATTCACATCCAAATGCATGAAAATAAAGTTAATACCTAGCTTACCATTAAAAGAGCCTTCTTATTTCTCATGTCCACCCCTTAAATACTTAGTACCTTCCACTGGGCCTGCCTCCTTATAAGCCAATGGCATGCTTCACATCTGTTTGGCACCTACTGGTTTTGGAAGTGGAGTGGAGCACAGGTGACAAATAGTACCTAACTGTGCTAATCAAAGGGAAATGACATGATGTAAAGGGCTGTGAGTTTTAATTCTCAAACTTTATTAAGACCTGCGGTCCCCACACAGGGGTGTTCTGGATACCCCCCCAGGTTCTGGATCTGTGGGGACGTTCTTTAGTGTTTGTTGAACATGTTTCTGTCTGATCCGAGTGTGGACAGACAGCTGACTGGGACTCGGCTGCCTCTTTCTGTGTCACTTATTTATCTATGTATTAGTCTGAGATGAATGTGTTTATATCTGTTCTTACTAGCCTGTCATCAATAGCTGACTGTTTTGCTCCCGTCTGCTCTTCCTTCTGCTGCTCATTCTCATTTTCAAAGCTAAAAACAAATGACATGTGGTCACCCTGGCTCCCCGGCTGTGTGGGCTCACTTGATCATTTTTAAATTGTGGTTAAATGGAGTTTTATGTGTAAATTAAGGTTTAATGTTATCTAATCAGACATGGACTTGGCGTCAGACAAAAAAGCAACAAAGACATAAAATTAAACAAAGAGGAAATGACACACTGATGAGCATATGCACATTCAGTGACTTTTAGCATACAGAGAAGGGTTATTAGGAATGATGGTCCCCTCTTTGATTCTCTTCGCTCGCAGTCCTTGTTCACCTGATGCATTTGCAAACCTCTTTTTCAGCCCTGCTGCGCTGTAGTCAGCACACAAGTCACCCACACGTTACAAGTCAGTCTTTTCTGTTATTTTTTTCCTCTTAAACTTTTGAACTTATCCAAAAATTATGTTTTCTGTTCCTGGATGTGACATTTGAACACGTTATTATACTATATGACTTACTTTTGCCTAACTCTTGTTTTACTGACTCAACCCTGTACACCTCACAGTGCATTCATCTGTCACCTTGGTTAGTGAGCTGATTAGCTTTTATCCTGCTGATTTCAACATTGGATTATAACCTGTAACAAACTGGACTTGCTCTAAAGTCAGGCTGTGTTTACCCTGAGTAGGCTCTGGGTGAAGAGGAGGATGGCGGCCCTGCAGAAGCAGCAGACAGTCAAAGGTTCTGCAGGTTTTTGGCTTGACTTGATGCACAATGCTGATGTGCTCAGTCATATTATATTTGTCTTTGGTTTCATGCAGCTACACTTTGGACCTCTTTGCATGTTTAACACTTTCTCAGGTAATCTATCGCTGTTTTGCACCATTGATATGACTAGCTTAGCTCACAGTATGACATCACTTCACAGGGCCTCGAGACTCGATAAGCAGAAACATTATTGATTTGGGAGTTTTGACCAATCCTGGATTCACAATAAATCTTGGACATGAGTTTTAAAAGTACTCGATATTCTCACAGAGGGATGCTACAGATAGCTTGCCAGCGGCTGCTGCTTCCTCTTTATCTCACCTTCTTTTTATGACAACCAGCACAAAGGACCACATTTCAGTCTCTTTAAACGTCATGTCTTCACAGATATTATCCTTTTTTCTCAGTCAGTTGTCCTTACTCATAAAAGGTTTTTATTGACTAAATACTGCTGTAACCGAGGGCTTTATAACACAACCTCTGACTTTGCTTGAAGCTAATTATTTGTGTTGCACTTTTCATACAAGATGATGCAACACAGAGTTCGATTAATTGATTTATGTGGGAGTTACGTGCTGATATGAAAAAAAAAAGGTCCTTTATCCTTTTCAAAACCATCATTTTTTTTTCCTGAAAGTGCAAATGTCGGCCTCCCTTTGAGTTGAACATTTTTGTCTTTATTTAAACTTTAAATTTAAACAGTGCTCCTCTTTGAACTTCAGTGGAGTTTGAGATAAAGTGCTAGTTTCAGAGAGGACGTGAATTACAGAGTAGCCTACAGTAACGCTGTCATGGCAGACCAGGAGAATATTCCATTCAAGTTTGCTTTGAACCTCTCTCCCCTAATAAGCCCATGAAAAGGTCTTATTATACTGGAGAAATGCTCTTCACTTTCAAGAGCGTTGCTGAATTGCAGAAGGATTGGTTGGTTTAGGGCACATTCATATGGAACAGGTTGTGATCAGGAGGCCACATTGGCCTTTTTATGGCCTTTGTATTCACCCCGTCACTGAGCGTGGCCTTCAAGAGCTGGTTTTCTTCCTCTGCGCTGGTCTCAATAAAATTATTCCAACTTCTAGGTCGAATTTGATTTCTTTCTCGTTCGTTCAAGAACTTTTTTAACCTTGGTGCAGTTTAATTTTACTTCTTGTTGGTGTCTTACTTTGATGTTATTCCTGCTGAATGGAAACTGAAGAGCTACTTATTTCATCACATGCCAATGCATGAGCCCACAAAAACAGATCAGATTGTTCCTAGTCCTTACAACATTGATGAACCAGATGCTCTGATCTTAAATAATGTTGCACACATCATATCAATCTGATCATCTGGGACACGATGGACTGGAGCGTGGGGCTGGAGTAGCTTGGTGGTTAGTGGAGTGTTGTTGAGGTGTCGGCGGCGACTCTGGCGTGCACACGAGGACACAATTAGAAGATGAACAGGGAGGACAGATGAGGTCCTGTTTGACACACATCTGACACACCATTCGCCCCAGCAGATGGCTCATGAATAACTGAGGGAGGCAGAGGAAGGGAAAACAGAGCCAGACGATGGGGTGTGTGGGGGAAGTTGAGGCTCTGTATGGATCTTTAAGTATGAGTGGGAACATATGCGAGCCCACACGGAGGTGAGAACCATAGAATCAATAGCCGTAGACATTAAATGAATACTTCTGGTCCAGCAACGCATGCAGACCAATGAGTTGTCGTGTCAAACTGGAATGAAGTGACAGCAGCAACCATGAAGTGGGGCAGGCTGATGGGGAGCGAATGAGCTTGCAATCAGAAGGCTGTCGGATCGAATCCCCACTCCACCGGTGAGCAATTGGAAGATAAAGTGGAAGTGAAGAGTTCTCTCCTTTTACAACTGATATCAAATTACCATTGACCCCTGAGCAATGCTCTGACCTCCTGGCTCAGATCTCCTTTCAGCAGGAGATCACTCAGGACTGTGATACACTTGAAATTAACAAACTGCTGTGTACAGAGGAAACACTAGGAAGTAAACTGAGCAGTTTAAATTGAGTAAATGCTAATACTGCCAAGACTCACACGTAAAATTATGGCGCAAAACAGAAAATATGTGCAAATTATTGCTTTAATATTTTGGCCCAAAGATACTTCAAAATTATGTTTCCAATGTGTTAAGTCCATCACAGAAAAGAGCATAATGTGTAATGATTGTTTAGTGACGAATGTTAATGTTAGTATTAGCTAGCCAACAATACAATGTCAATAACTCTGGGTGTGAGGGTTGAAAAAGCGACCCCATAAACTGCAGATTTTCAACCTGTGACTATGACAGTTAGGCCGGTGTGAGGGGGTAAGTGACAGCCCTGTTTACAATTCCTGCAAAAAAATTGAAGATAAATGATAAATTAGACCGTTAAAAGTCAGCAGGGTGAGAGTATTTGTCAGAAATTACACTTAAGCATGTAGAGATCAAGATAAGCAAAAGCTGCTTTGTCCACAGGGGGCACCAAAGTTGACATAAAAAGTACAGTTCCTCTACGAAGTATTAGCATGATGCAAAAAAAGGCACCATTTCCAAAGTACCAAGCTATCAGTGTTTTGCATGACTGTATCATCAGCATAGATAGTAAATCATATTTAATATTCCCTTGCAGGATCCCTCTGCTGCCTCCCACCTAAGCTCCCTTCACCAAACCATGCACCACATATGGATGCCAACTGATGTCACTGCAAATTATTTCTTCCACTCAGCTCCATTTCTTGCACTCTGAGGACAGAAACACTGACAGCCGTTCATTATAAAAAAAAAAAAAAAGTTAAAAAGTGGCAACTGGTGTGTGCTGCACAGCTGTTGTGCTCTCAGCATCACCAAGCTGAAGAACGCCAGCAAGAGAGGGAGTCGGAGAACGAGAGAGAGAATGCTGCTGACACAAGTCATAAAAAAACTGGATGAGGCAAGTTCATGCAGAGACGATGTGATTGGAAGCAGCAGCACTTTTCAGAGACATACCAACAGTTTTCCAGTCATACTCGATTTTGTCTGGTTCTAGTGGCGTTAATTGACAAAACTGATGAATCCTGTAAATATCGGCTGTGGTTGTTTCATGAGTATGCCTAACCCTTCAAAGCAGTTACAGGTGTTAAATATGACATATATAGACTTTGTCTGTTGGGTCATACATTACAGAGACGCCTCACTGCCCTTTTCAGGTCTCTTTTATCACCTGTGTTGCCCCCCTGTGGGCATGCAGGGCAGTGTTAATTTTGACAGCACTTTTTTATTTATTTGTTTTAGTTATATTCTTTTGCCTCAAATATCTTATAGTTTTAGTCATAATCTAGTCATGTAGATTGTTTTAATTTTAGTCTTGTTTTAGTTTATTAAAGTTCACAACATTTTCGCCTGTGAAATCTGCTGTGAACTTAGTCAACTAAAAATGTGTAAAGGGTAAGGCCTTCTTTTTGTTTCCTTGAATTTCTGAAGTCATGTTTTACACTTGGATATAATGAAACTTATAATTACCCTTTATTGGATTCAAGTAAAGTTTGAATGTATTAATTAACAGACACAAATTCAACTTTTATGTGAAATGCAGTCACCTTTATTTAGGCTATTTGGTAAAGGATCTCAGTAACAATACTAGAATTTACAACAAACAGTAAACCTGCTCTCCATGAGTATATAAATTGTCAATTACAGACAAACATTGAATTATCCCTGAAATACCCCAAATATTCAAGGACAAAGTAGGCTAAAATCCTATGAACCCTGCTTACTGTTATTGTAAAGTATTAAATAATGATTTTTGCTGTGTTTATTGTCAAACGTTTTTACATGAAGTACTCAATTATGTTGTAAGAAAAATATCTATAAAAGGAAACCCCTCACCATCAGATTTGTACTTTAAAGAAAGAAAAAAAAAAAAAAAAAAACCTTACGACATATTACTCAAAATTGGTCATTGACAAAATTACAACCATTCTATTTTAACATTTTTTTGTGTTAAAAATGCTATTACACAGTACCATTACTTTTTGAAGCCATAAGATGAGCTGTGAGATGTGTGCATCGTACAGACATCTCTGTCCTTGCAGAGGAAAATCTAACCTCCTAAAGAAAGAAGCTCTGATTGGATCTCTCCCCAACTCATCCTGACCATGTAACTATCGCAGTTGTGATGTATGAATGTATTCCTAACTTATCCCTACTTTATACATGACAAAATTAAGTCTGATTCAAGTAAATCTCTGTCAAATATTTCCATCTCATTGTTATTTGTTGATGAAAGTTTCAGTTAATTTTGTTCTAGTTTTTGTCCATGTTTGTTTTTATTAGATACTGTCTCATTTGGTCAGGGGAAAATTATTGTTAATGAGAACTATGACGAAAATAATTAATCAATAAAATTAACACTGATATGGTGCCATTATAGCAAAATGAGTTTGGGTTTTTTGAGCCTTTCAGACTACCATAGTTTCATCAGTTAGAATAAGTGACACAGCAAGTAGCACTTATCTCTTAGAGCCTTGGAAATATGTTTTAGGTTGGATGTGTTAGATGTTATTTGTTAAATATGTCGGTAGAAGTCAGTCATTGTTGTTTTATTTGTATGTATTCATTTATTTTTTTCAACTGAAAAGCATGCACAATGGCAATGCTAATTCCGTTAGCCTGTAAATGTGTCAGCCTGTATGTATCTGTCTACTGTATGTTTCTTGGAAAGGATAAACTGTAAATGGGAACTTCCCCTTGTGGGATTAAAAAAAGCTTACCTTATCTTAACTTAAATAAGGATTTCCATGTTTTTTAAGATCAAGCTAGCAGACTTTTGGCTAACTTCGTACATGTAAATGCAGATGGTAAGCCTCCCATAGAGGGCATTGTTTGAGCTTGTTTAACACTGTTCAGATACACTGTGTATGCATTTATAATGCAATAAGCTCCCACTTTTGTATCTGCAATTGTACAATGTTGTCATGTGAGGTCAAAGTAAGCACCCAAACTCAGAAGGAACAGTTTCTGATTTTACGAAGAACTTTTTTTTAATGTGTCAAACTAAACAAAAACTTTCAGGGCAGATTGAATACAGCCCATCAAAAACTCCTTTAAAGGAACATGTCACTGTAAATCTGCAGGTGACATGCACCGATCAAAACCATTAACAGATTTTGTGTAATTGCGCAATAATGCAGGGATTAAACTCAAAACTGATGCCACTGTGACTTGCTACTTCTGTACTTTTAATGCTGTTCATGGTTTTGGAGTATTGATCAAACTGGAATAAAACTTGTAATATTTTGCATTTGTTGATGCTATTTTAACCTACACATAGATTAATTGACTGAACTTTTATCAATATTTCCTTTCAGAGAATGGGAAAAACATTTAAAAAGAAAGATCACAATTGATGCTCCACGAGGCCCTGATATCCTGACTTCTGGTCTCCAGGTCAAGCTCCAGAAACGATTGATCCCACATCTGCGACTGCAAATCGATAACCATCCCTTATTTGCCATCCCTGCATTGTAAGTGCCTGAGTCTTTTAAACTGCGCAGTTTGTTTTGAAGGCTTTCTCTATTACAAATTAGCCCTCCTGAAGCCTGGGCTGGAAAAACTTTAAGTGTTGTCAGATTTAACAAATCTCCTGAAGAGCAAAACAACAACATTAGTCCACAAGCTGCTTTTACATGCCATTCAGCAGCTATTGTGACTGTTAAAGTCTGTCATTTACAATTGGCAAAGTGTCCCTCTAAGCAAAGCATGGACACATTTACACCTCTTGTTGTATAAATGGGCTGCACTCCTGCAACTATCAATCAGCCTAGTTGCGAAAATGGCGGTGCTTTTCCTCTAAGTTGCATTTAAAGACAGCTGGGATAGAGTTAGATATGCTTAAATGCCACTACAGTGGATTAATTGTGGTGTGGTGGCGTAGTGCCGCGGGATAAGGGGGCAGAAATGGCACATTCCTCACAACTCTATTGTATAGTTGGCAGCAAACCAAAAGGCCCTCAGTGCTGCTGCAGCTCACTGTGAAATGTTCCACACAAGGCGTTTGGGAGTCGAGTCCACCCATGAGGTTCAGCAGAATGGCTCAAATCCAGCTTTGTGCCCTCCTCCACATGTCACAGACATGGACAATTTCCACATGTGAAACCATGTAAGATGCATAATTCAGGCAGTGTAAGCTGAAAATAATGCAGGCGTCCGCAGAGCGTGAGTGTGTGGGGTGTCCAGATGCACTCTTCAAACCACAGAGGGATGAAAAAATTCAGGATGCCCTACTTTGGGTTTTCTGTGCCGTACAGGCTGCCAACAGTGCAGCCAAGCATTTTTGCTTAACAGAGTGTGTAAGGCTTTATCTTATCTCCACATGGCTGGAGAGAAAATAAATGAGGGGAGCTCAGAACATGCCCCATGTGTCTCGGTGTTGCTTAGCTCTTAGGCAGACTTTCGTGCAGGTGTTAACAACATTTTAGAAAGCATCCTTTTTTTTGTTCAAAGCAGAAGCTGTGTGTCAGCAGCCTCAAGTACAAAGAGGATTTACGTGAGAGTCGAATCTGCAAGGAAACGCAGAAAAATGAGGGAGCAGGGTCGATGGAGACTTTTTAATTTTAGGGATCAAAACAAAACGACTTCAGTGAACTTCAAGCTCAGCCCTAATGCGAGCGTCGTTAAGGTTTGGGTAGTTTTAGTCCTTGGGAAAAATTGGTTTCACAGTGATTGGTTCAGACATTTTCAGATGTGTAAAAGAAAATGTTTTCTGCAAATAAAATAGAGCCTTAAAGTGAACTGCCTTTTATTTTTGCTTTTATTGATCTGTATTGTGCTGAATCCCAATCAAATGTCTTCACATGAACCACATTGTTTTGAGTGTCTGGGGTCTGGGGATGCAGCCCAGGAGTGCCAGAAACCTGATTGGGCCCAGTGACCACCCAAATCTCACACCATGATAAGCTGCTTGTAGCTTCTTTCCACCCCAAAGTGGAACATTTTCTCTAGTTAGTAGTGCTTTATTAAATCAAATCTATCCAGAAGGCACAACCAGTGCTGACCCAATACAGTAAAAGGCCTAGAGGGAGAGTTTACAGGGTGAACAGTAAAGGTCCTAATATGAAGCCCTGAGGTATCCCACAGGGGTTGGAGGAAAAGTGACTTTAGCCAAAGTATCGTGCTGAGACATTTAAAAACTGTGTCTCTTACCAGTTCAGCACAGAGGCTGACTGAAGTTTGTAGACTACTGTAGCCCCTAAACTGTCAAGAAAGATCGAGAGATGATGATTTATTCCAAGTTTACATGTTTGTTAATATATTACAGAGGATAGAGAATAAAGTTGAAAAAAAAAAAAAAAAACTGTGAATAGAGCTCAGGAAATGACATTCCACAAAGAGCTGCCCACTTTAAGGACCGTGGCCTCCGTGGGATGTGTGATTCAACCATTACAGCCCGGCTCACACTGAAAGATTTGAAGATCTTAAACCGTTTGGAAACGTGAGACACCCCACACAGGATGACAAATACTGACAGATTTCACTATTTTGATCTCATTGTGTGTGGAGTGGAACGATAATGGCCAACACAACCCACCACACACTATCAGAGTCCACTCCACCAACAACCAAACTATACCTCACAACTTTTCCATTGTGTTGAATGTTTTGCCTGCTTGTTTCATGTAAAGCACTTTGAATTGCCCTGCTGCTGAAATGTGCTATACAAATAAACTTGACTTGACTTGACTTGACAGGTCATTGTGATCAGCATTGTTTGGGCTTCATTACACTTCTCTGAGGAATCAGAAGGTGACAACACTGAGAGTGAGACAGTCTGTGGATGTAGGTGTCTCATTCATATTCTGTGCTGTAATCACAGGGATATGAATTGGAGTATAAATTACTGTGGATTATTATGGAATATGCGTCATGTGCTTTCGCTCCCATCTGACTCAATTATGACTTGCTGCAATCACATTTTAAAAGGGGTCCTCACTCCTGGAGTGTGCTCCACAAACATGATTCATCACTCCCAAAACTGGTGTCTCATGCAGTTCGGGGGCTCTCACATCAACAATGCAGAATCATCCAGGATCGCGGCCTTCACAGCTAATGCGCTTCACTTACATGAAGGCAAAAGGGGGCCCTAATGAATCACTGCACTGTCATCCAGAAAGGATAACAGCCCCGGTTAATATTGTAAGATAGTTTCTGATAATGCTTATGTGGCGAGTCAGGGGGAGAGGAAAAGAGCAGCAGCAGCACCCACAGGGACTCTCTAGAGTTCGGACATGAAGGTAGATCTGGGCTGCAAACACATGGTAATGAGTGGTTGCAAAATTTGAGAGGCCTGTCTTTGCTAATAGCTGAGCTCTTAAAGAATACTCCATTCTGTTTTCAAGGCCTGTGGAAGTGGAGAAAGCGTACCACACTCCACATCTCCCTGACAGCTTCATTACCACCAAATTCCTGTTGTTTGGCAGCAGCCCTCTTCGACTGGCACTTGTTGAAAGAGAAACTAGCTCTGGATGAAGTGTTGTGTTTGTGTGAGTTACAATTGGGGGGAAAAAATACATCAAACAAGCACTTAATCTTTGACCGGTCTAAACTAAACCAGAGTCATTCTGGGAGTAATCTATTTAGTTGGTTTGGAGGATTGCTGTGGAGGAAAGTGTAGCCGCAGGGGGAACCGGGAAGGTTTTCTAAATGGCGAACACCTTTGCCACTTTTGTTCTCGACGTGCACGCCCCACTTAACCTTAGCAAGCTCTGGCGCCTGGGATAGAAACAACTGCAAGCGCACACATTAGTCATTTCAAGGTTATGCATAGGTGAATGCACTGTAAAGCACAGAGGGGTACTTTGAGTGGGAAGATTTCTCATTCATGTGAAAAAGCAGTGATTGAAACAGGTAGATCTGCTGCCTGAGGCGAGAAATGTCAAAAATGAGCCTGAGATTGCTCCACAAGACAAACCATTATTGACACCCTTTTTACAGCCATAATGTGTCATCTAACCTTCCTCACTCGTCTCCAGTTTCGCTATGTTGCACTCTGCTGAACTGGCCGGCTGACTATGCAGACTTGCTGCAGATGTGTCATCTACAATCACCTCAGACTGACAGAGAACAGGCAACTACAGAGAGACAGACTTTAACCTACAAGTGAGGCTTCAAGCATCACTGGACTCATCTTCACCCAAGTGGATGCAACAACCAGGACGCCCAGATGTAACTGGTCCATCTGTACTCAGCCTCATGCCCATTCTCTTAATGTGTGTATGTGCGGGTGCGTTGGCATGTATGCGTGTGTGTGTGTGTGTGTGTGTGTGTGTGTGTGTGTAGGTGGGGGTGGGGGGTAAGGGGGCATCTGGTATCATTTTTCGTTTTTGTTTTTAACAAGACTGTAAAGCATTTTGAGTCACATTCCTGTAGGAAAAGTGCTTATAAATAATGTTTAATTGATTGATTGATAACGCAGTGCAAACACACACCTACTTATGGAAGCAGACACTTTAAATGATACAAGCATTCTTTTTCATTTGCAGTCCAAATATTGACACATGTAAATAAGTATGCAAATGATTCATGACATTAAATTAAAACAGGATATATCAATAAGACGCAAGGACACCACGTCCTTAACTGAAGAAAGTAGTAAGGAAGAGCTGCCATCATGCAAGTCGACCAGTGATTTAGAGCGGCTAATATCAATAATTTCATATGAAACATGGTTATATTCACCAGTTGACACACTGAACTCAAAGTAGCATCTTGTAGTTAAATGTTTATGTTCTACTTTACAGAGCTTTCTATTAAAATTCATCTCAAAATGGTTATAAGAACTAGAAAGAGTAAAAAAATATTCAAAGTGTAAGAGTTATTGGTCGAGCTGCACAGCATTTGTAAAGTAAAGCACAGATTTATCTGCAAAAGCCTCTCTCAATTTTCACAAAAAATATCATAATGATATCATGGGATATTTATTGAAAGCTTCACAATAAAACGCAATCAAACTGAAAAGAGGACAAGAGTGAAGCCATCGCCAATCCTGCGATCTTGACTTGTTGTAGGAAGACATGACCTTGTAAAACAGAGCTTGTCATGCTTTTATTTTGGAAAATTTCCTGCCTTGCATTCAGTTGCTTTATTTCCAGCATTGTAAATGCATGCTTTTATTTTGAAATATGCCTCTTGTAGATCCTATGTGACAGGACTGAATGAAAGAAATTGGAAAATGTTCAGTTGATTGGTATAAGTGCTAAACCGTCACTCAAAGGGCTGCCGGCTCGTTTGCTTTCAGCTGCTGCTTCATCTCGTCTTCTCATTTTCATCTTTGTTTTATCATGTGCAGCACCTATCGCTCCTGTGAACTCCTGTGTAACTAACTTTTGTTTAACTGAGAAAGAAGGATCTCAACTCTGCTCTTGCTTGGTAAGATGGACAGACAACTTAAACATAACTACACAGCCTTTGTAGATTTGGAGTAATTTCTGAATCTTGAGGATATACAGTAATGTGTTTGGATTAAAGATGTGTTTGGATCTTGGCAACTTTTTAAATGCGGCAGAGAGGGGAATTGTTGGACTTTTTGCAGGTTTTCACTGAACATTATTATTAAAACATTGGATGTCAGAGGTCATTGTGAGAGCTTTTATAGCAGCGTAAAAACCCCATCTTGAATGGCCAGTGTAAAAAGGACCTTCTGGTGTGTTAATGTTTTTTTTCATTTAAATCACAGGTCAGTCTTCTCACAACTATTTTAGGCAATTTTAAAAGTTTCTGTGATAAGTAGATGTAAGATACTGTGAGGACCTTCTTCCTGTTGGTGACTATTGTTCCTGAAACAGTCACACAACAGTCGTTTCTTTTGTCTCAAACCTTCATTTTGAGTATTTTACACTGAAACTGGCCATCTGTGCCTGGTCCTTGGAGGAAAGCTGATACAGAAGTTTTCTTTTAAACACCCAGTGCCAGAACAAGCAGGTTGAACACAGCAGAGTTATTTTTACCAATCGTAAGACAGACAGATCAACATTGCGCACCATGTCAGGTCATCCAGCACGGCGCTCATCAGGCTGTTATTTGAGATGCAAGCCACAAAGAAGCTCTGGTGAGCATGGACTTATGTGGGAGAGAGTTTATCTGAAACAGCATGACAAGAAAAGCATGTGGGATATATGGTCTGTGTGTGAGTTTTGTGTGTGTGTGTAAGGAGGCTGGGTCGTTTTAATGACACGTGATTGACAGAGAGCGACTGGAGTGTCGTCTAAAGGAGGCAGGGAGGTCGATGAGATCTCAAGAGGATGAAGATGAATGAGGCGGATAACTGGGACGAGGGCAGGCAGGTGGAGCCCAGTTTACAGTTTGTGGTGACTGACTGGATTTGTTGTCGTGCTGCTGGTGTTTACATGGTGTTAGTGTCGCACTGCACAACACAGGCTCATAAGGCAGCCATTAGTTCTCCATTATCTCAAACAATGACTCTAATTTCTTTCTTCTGCCGGTGCATGACTCATCAGAATTGCAGGGGAAGGAATACAGAGACACAATGTGCCCACAAGCGTCTGGAAAAAACTGCCTAAGGGAGAGAGACATCCTGAGACTAGCACAACTCAAAACGACTAAAATAAATGTAGGAAAATGAGGTAGATCATTGTGCAAGCGCTAACTAATTCTGGCTAACTTTCTTGTAGATCCATCTATTTTGGATGTGTAGGCAGCCCTGGAGGCTTGTTGACCTGGAAAAGACAAACCTCTCCCTTCCTTTCATCTTCGGAGTCAGCTCCTGCAAGCAGATGTATCCGAGCCAATAAAACGAGGCCTACTTCTGCTGTTCTGCCCTGTAACAAGAGCACTGCTCTCAGCAGTGTTTTCCTCCCATCATCATTGTGTTTTTGTGTTTTTTCGCAGGATTTTCTTTCCAAAATAGTTCTGTCAAAGCAATATGTCGGGGTTTGTTGCGCAACGAAAACTATTGAGAATCCGGTAAATATTTGTGGAGGCTGCAGTACTCTGTGCAAGCATATGTAGGTGGATTTTTGACACTAGTGAGCTATAGAATCTCATATCTTCCACCTGCCTCCGCGTATATCTGATTCATTCTCCATCCTAGACCTTCTGCTTCAACTCAAAGCATGAGAAAACTGTAACTATGAAACAGAACTGGCCCTCCTCTGTTGACTCAAACACTATTTACTGTATGTATTAAAGCACAGCAGAGAGTATAAACCTCCAAGCACACTGGAAGGGCTTTATTCTCTGCAACGCTCTAAAGAGAAATGACAACCATTGCAGCACTTTGGCTAAAAATGAAACACCATGGGAGTAGAGTTGCAGGGAACTGGGTGAAAACAGGAGAAGGAAACACAGAAACACTCAGATTTATTTGTAAGAGGCATAAAAAGTGGACAAGTCAGGGTAAGGTTATAGATTTCATCTGAGGGGGTCCCTAGAATCAAAAATGACATTAACCCTCTTCACTGAGCCTTGAACTAAGTCTGGGGGTTCATTGACCTGGACCTTTGCTGCATTAAGTAAGGGGCCTTTCCCACCCAAAGCCCGCTTAGAAGGTCTGGATCGATCGATCAATCAATTAAAATTTATTTATATAGCACCAATTCACGACAGTCGTCATCCCAAGATGCTTTCCAAAGAAAAAGAGCAGGACCACACTCATTGTTTGATGAATTATCAAGACCCTACCTAAGATGGGATTTGGCCTATCTCATCTAACATGAGTGGCAGTGGCAAGAGGACCATGGTCTGTGTAACAGCCATTCACTGTGTAAGAGCGGTTCATTTTATTCACCTGGTGTAGTACTCAATTGAGTAAGTGGGTGTCGCTGTCCTGTGGCACGACCACAGGTATTTAGGGAACATTGATTGATTTCACCTGTTGTTGGTTTGTTGATACCGGAAGGACCAAACGGTTTTTGACCGACGCGGTGGCGGCTGTGAGTTATGCTGTATGAATTGAAGAAAGAGTATGTATTCGCTGTTTGCAAAATAAATATGGATTATTGTGCATCCCAGTTGAAACTACCTTTTTTGAACAAAGCTTACGGTAAGCCATCGGCGTGTCAGCCAGGAGTCCTGGGAGTCAATCAAAACACGTCAGTTTGGTGTTAGATCAAGCTGCAACAGTCTGTTTGTTCGATCCAGACCATGGTTTGCTTGCGCATTCATACCACCTGGATCAACCAAACAGTCCTGGTATGAATGCGTCCTAGGTATTAGACACTTGGCCAAACCATGCAAAAGAGACTCAGTAAATTTGAAGTTTTTAATATCATGGACATATGGAAACGGTCATAAAACAAACACATTTTCCCTTGATCTTGGAGCGTACCAGAATCAGCTGGCATTGCTGGATAGCCACTGAACATATTGAGGCCTAAACATTGTTGTAACACGCCAAACATCAACTTGGGTAGCAGATTTATAAAAATAGACTTTGCAGGTGTACAGGCAAGAAATGCAAAAATACTGCTAAATGTTTCAGACTCGCCATCCAGTTTTATGAACACTTGTTCTTATTAAGAAAACGAGCATGTGCAGATGCTAAGGAGGCATCACTGTTGCAGGTATGTGGATACGTGCCAGACTCACTAGCTCGGAAAATCTCTTCTCGAGTCTGTTGACTTTGTGGGGTAAGGTCCCAGAAAATCTTAAAGATGATTGTAATGTAAGACCACATGTTATAAAGGCATGTTCCACAACGGTTCAGCTATCAGTTGATCCAGTACCTGTTGGCATCCCTACCTGGGTCAAAGCACCTGGGATGAAAATGTCATGGAGGGTTTGCAACGGCCTTCCTGGTCTGACCATCATCAGTGCACATTTTCAAATGTTAATATCATAAACTAAAAACCAATATGCAGATCAATGTCTGAGTCACCACAGGCAGGTCAGCAACCTCATCTTTTGGCAAAAGTGAAGCTCTGCAGTGCACCAAAGCAAAGACACACTTAGTGACTCTGGGAGCTCTCTGCATCTCCCATTTGGTTTCCTCTTTTGGCTTCAGTGGGCAGAGGAGTGGAGAAATGGGCCTTTAAGGCTGATATTTCCTTTTGGGACACCCTCACTTTTACCTCACCTTGCCCCTTTAAAAAAGGATTCCAGACTGCTGCAGCCTGGTTGGTTTAATAAGCCCACTTCAGAGAGGATCTTATAGTGAGCGCTTCCTCCTTCCGAAGAATAGTGGAAGACTTGTGCATTATTTACCAGCCGCCTCAGTACCGCCGCACCCTGAGCAGACAAAGCGGCCTGCTGCAGGAAAATGGATTTCTCTGCAGAGGAGCTCAGATAAGAAGGATGGAGGGAGGAAGGGATAGAGAGAAGAAAATGTGGGGATGAAGACAGAATGACAGAATGGAGCATCCCAGCCAAGCCAAGACCTGAATCAGTTAAATTTCTTCACATGTCCCCCTGCTATCTCCTCTTCTCCCTCCCCGTTGGCGTGATAAGGGCACTTCTTTACATCAGAGCCCTCCACGGATCAGTCACCTTTCTTGCCGGAAAGGTCGAGCGCTGGCCCAAAGCTCAGCTCAAGCTGGGAAGTCATCACTCCTGCTCTTTATCTCCCAGGTGACGGATGATGCAAGGCTGAGTGCCATGGCCGTCTGCCCTCAATATGCCCTCTAACCCCCTCACCATCTCCCTCACACTGCCTAGGGGCTGCATCCAGTGAGATAGGAGGAGAGCCGGTGACGTGTGAGCATCACTTTCACAACACCTCACGGCAGTGTAGCCATCAGATAAGACCTGAGGAAAGATCCAATAGAGGTAAGTCGTCACAGCGGAGCAGCAGGATTTGAACGATGGGCTGGTCAGGCTATCTCCCAGCACCCCTCGCTTCTGAACAAACCAGGCACGAGATGAGGAGGAGGGATAAACATGTCAGCGCCTGGCAGCCACCTGAGACACTCAGCTCCCTTCCAGAAAACAAAAGTCTCCTGCAATCTGCATACAACATCCCCGTGAATCCTTACACAGGTTACCCTTCAAGGAGAGTTTACTGCTTGTGAATGTGCACGGCTGTTCTCACAGTCCCTGAGCGACTGAAGCACTGTAAGTGATGTGCTGGCGCAATTTGCGTGTCGCTGTACTGTGGGACGACCCAACTGACAAGACTTCCTGCTTTGCTGCCTGGGTAATGAGTCATCACAGCCCTGGAGAAAAACAATCTGGTATTTTTAAACTGCATCCTTCAGCTGTTCCTTTCTCCCTGGAGCTCCATCTTGTGAGATCTTGGTGGCTTGTAATATGAATGCCATTCCTGGAGCCTGCGCTAATGGGCCCGATATGTCTGAATAATACAAAGGCATTACCGTGCTTTTAATGGTACTTTTGGTCCTCCATGTGCAGCCGATTACAACTTAATGCTCTGCAAAATGCTACAAAACACCATGTATGTGCAGTTTCAAATTACCACTAATAGTGTTTTGCAGCTTATAACACTTAGGTTATTTGTTTGTTGGAGGAGGAGGCGGTAACACCAGTGTTACTAAAAAGAGAGTATTTTAGTCCAAGGAGTCAGTCAGTGAAGGAAAAACATGTTGGTATTGATCCCTTTATAAAATGTGTACAAAAGTGAAAGTTATTCTGCCCCAGGCGTTTATAAACCAGCAAAACTCACCATTATGAGAATAAAACAAACATGTTATAGTTAAATTAATATGATATATAAAATTATATTCTTTATTTGACTGACTGGCTGGTCATTATTTTGGAAGATTCAGGTCTTTGGAGGTCCTCAGGTTCTCTTTTCGTCACCGGTCATATCCTTGACTTTCACTGGGGACAATAGTTTTAGGCATAACGGTGAAAAACACGGTGAAATAGAGCAAACTACCAAACTGGAACTCCTAAAACGTGCAAATGCTGTTGCATTAACCAGGAATCACTAGAAATCAGTGAGTAATGAAAATGACCATACTGGTGTAGGGGTGCAGAATTTTTCTGAATGATAAATTTAATTGTCAAGGTCACTAAGTTTACTGTATATCATTCATTGGTCATCCTTTTGGGGGTTGGAGGCGGGGCTTGGAGTCTATCCCAGCTGTTATTGGGTGAGAGGTGAGGAATACCCTGGAAAGATTGCTACTTAAAGTGTGATTAATCACAGTTAACTTAAAATAAAACAATCTATTGGTCTAGAAAATAATAAAAGAGTCGTTTTACAGCCCTAAAATCGATGTAATAAATGAACGTACTTTAAAATTGCACTTACAGCTCCTGTGAGGGGTTGTTAATATTTATGAAAGCGTGCTAAATTCACATTGATGCATACAAGACCATGCATGAGAGACTGATAATTATGTTGTAACATTAATGCCATAAACTACCTCTGTTTTTATTTTCCACGGTAAATATCCACAAAAAACTGTTTTATTTGGTCAGCAGAATAAGACTTTTTGTCGAACAACACTTGATGTCCACAGGGGGGTGCTAAAACTGAGCCAAAATGAAAGTTTCTTACAGGAGCATTAAAGTACTAGAACTAGTTGAGTATTTTGAGTATTTGCTGTTCAAAACATTTTCATTGCTGCAAATTTTAATATGCAGAGTTTCTATGATCAACTTTCGATCTGTCGCTGTATTAGACCGTTTTTTTTTTTGTTGGTTTTTTTTACCAATCCCACCCAGTCTCTCAGCTGAGTCGACTTCTCTCATTGGATTTCTTTGATTTATGGTTTCTCTTCACTTACATGGCAGATAATTTACTCTCCTGTCTGTCGGATGTTGTTGCATTGCGTCGAGATCTGTGCATGTGCCTCCCCATGTTATGCATATTTGTTTCACAGGCTGCATCTGACATGCATCCCTTGCAAGAAACAAGACAGAAACAGACAGCACAGGACAAATTTCTCATGATGCTCCTCTCATAATAAAACCACTACAGTCTTTTCTCTCTGTCTGTTTTCAGCTTTGAGGCACTGTAGCATTTTGCAGAATCACCTGAGCAGCCATCACCCGACAACGGGGATTTCAATCACTCCGCTGAGCTCGTAACCTCGCCTCCACCTCTCTCCGCCTCCCTCTTACTCCCATTGCAGCCACCTGCGACTGTCATGCTAATTTACGAGCGCACACTCGTGCGAGTGCCCCTGTTTTAGAGCGTTCTCATATACCTCATCACAGGCTGGCAATTAAAGTTGGGCGTGATTTGAAACAGGACCACAAAAGCTGATTATTCGGCCTCTCCTGGGGAAAATACGCTCAATCAAAAGGTCATAAGACTACAGTGTGTGGTTGTGCACACAGATTTTCCAAAGAGGAAAACAGCTCAGAGGCAGATAAAACATAAAACAGGGGGGTAAGCTCAAGTGCATGTGGTTTCACAGGTATTCCAGTGGATTTCTACAGGGCATCTAAGAATGGCTGTGCAGCAACTGAAGTGGTTAACAATAGATAATGTTTGCTCTTCCATTTTCGTTGGCTATATCTATGGTAAACCGCCTCCGGTAAAGAAGAGTAAACAAGAAAATAGAGGCTCTGTGTCTGCTCTGAGCAACAAATCACACTCCCGCAGATTATCATTAGTCTCAGCAGCCGACAGAAAGCAAGAAAAGAGGCTTGTGCTGCAATGAATCCAACACAAATGTGATCATAAAGAAAGGCGACAAATCACAGCACCTTCATAGTGGAGTCTGGGCTACATGGCAGAACCCCCCAGATGGACTAATCTTCCTGTGACACCCAGAATGCTCCACTCTTGCTCCTGAAAACAAAGCTCTGAGCACTTCCACAGCTCACCGGGAGCTCACGGAGCATCCACACTTTCCTCCGAACATGACATGCCATTTATGATTAATGGCATTACCAGCGGGGCCAAGATAAGAGCTCAATTAGCTGTGTGGGCAAGGACCTTGACTCTATCTCCAATGACTAATCCCATGGCTTTTGTTATGATTAGCAGGAGCAGTTTTAATCTTAGCCTCTGAGTGCCTGGCTTTGCTCCAAACACAACTAATTCATTAGCAGTTTCAAATGCACCTCTGCCATGAGTGGCACAATAGAACCAAGTCCCAGGGCAGCCATCTTCTTCTGATGTCACACTCAGGGTGAAAAACTCTAATGTTGTTATCATGCAGAATCACTCTGCTCCGGGTAGTAGAAGTGGTAAAAAAAAAAAAAAAAAAAGTCTATAATCTGACAAACAGGGATGCTTATGCTGCTCCCCTATTGAAGGTCATATTTTCAGCTGAACTGTAAATTTCTCGGCCTGTCAGCATACATCAAAAGAAAACTAATTAGCATTCAGCCTCTTCCTAGTTGATATAAATGAGAAAAAATGAGAATGCCGTGTGCACAAAGAATGATTATGTTACTGGGGCATGAGCACATGCAATAGTTACATCAGTCATGTGACCTGAAAGCCCCCTTACAGTGTTACATGACTGCATAATGTCTACATGCATGTGCACTAGGGCTGTAAAGTCCTAGGCGACTGGCAGACTTATTGTTCGATACGTGCTGAGTCAACCAAAATTCTGATTGGTCGACTTGATTTTTTCCACGTCAATTTACAATCTATGGTTAATTTCATTGGGAGGAAAGTACGTAACGTTTTCAGAGCACCCCTGTTTCAAAGGTAACAGCCTGTCTCAGAACACCACCCTTGTTTTCACCATTTTGGATTCATCCAAGCCAATGGAGAGCTGGAGACAGGATGATTGAAGAGTTAATCGTTAATCAACGTCTGGTGGTTTGCTGAATATAATTTTTGTTTTTAATTGCCTTCTTGTGCTGATATCAGTATACTTTAACCCCGTCGAGCCGCGCTCCGCTGAGCTGCGTCGTCCACCGCCGTCAGAAGGGGTTTGCCATCAGAGTCGGACCTCCCTGATTAGTCGATTTTTGGTCAAAAATTTCAGGGTTATAGTCAAACAGGAATTTCGCTGGCACCATCAAGTACCCAGAAAATGCTGGTTTTCTATGCTTAGGCCTAGGGCTGCATGGTGTCTTTTTTCTCAATAGTGCTATTATTTTTTGTATGCTTCTTACCTAGAAATTTTCTTTTTTCCTTTTGAATTTTTTTTTTTGTTATCTTGATATGCTGCTAAAAACAATTTGTGAAACGCTCAGTAGTGGAAATGATTTGATGTGATGAAATGATGTGCTCAGGCCCCCAAATTTGCCAATCTTCACCATGAATGTGCTTTGGTAGTATCAGTTGCGAGGAAATTAAATGAATCCTTTCATGTGAGATTAATTCATCCACCTTGTTAATATTTTAGCAAGCCAAGCCTCCTGAGAGTTCCCGTGCACCAAATGATGCTGGTTTCCTGCAAATAAATTTCTAACTACAGCAGCATTGCCTTGGGAGTTTTGCTGAAGCCCCGTATTCTCTGCAGGAACTGTCAAACGGCTGCAGAACTCAGAGAACTACAACACAAAGAGGTCCCCTAACGAAGCGCTTAATAATTCACCCGCTATGCTCTGAAAACAGTCAAGAACAATCCTTTCGATGTTAGAGCTTTCATTTGGTATGAAAACTTTTAGCGAGGCATTATGAAGATCCTTGATTAAACATTTAGTGCAAAAAAAGAAGCAATGTGAGGATAAACATTTCCAAGAACACTCAAAAAGGTTGCATCACACAGGGCCAGAGCAAAATGCAGTGAGATTTAAGTGCATTAAACATGCTTTAGTGGTATTATCCGTGCTAATAGAACACACACACAGTGTGAAAGATGGACTCCAGAAGCTGTTTCTGCAGTGAAACCCATCTTGCATGATGCTGCACTTTGTAGCACTCACACTCTGCAGGGGGAAACGTAGCGCACCATCTGTTCACCGATCCCCAGCAACAAACAACAGACAGACCGACGCAGCAGACAGACCAGCAGACACAGGCGGGCACTACTCCTGCACCAGCAAGGAATTGTGGGAAACAGGGAGGCGGCTATACAGAGACGAGGCGGCTACACAGAGACAAGGCGGCGAAATGTGGGATGAAAGCAGTCATCAGCAGCCAGGATCTGATCATAAGGCCCTGGCTGACACCGGCACGGCGAGGAGTGATGCAAATTGAGGCCGACGCTGCAAAGGAGTGGCAGTTGAGTGAGAGAGAGAGCCATGATAGCGAAAGGGAGATGATAGGTTCATAGCAGGAGACAGAGGAGGAAGAGGTGGAGATGTTAACCAGCTGAGAGAGCCCTAACGTGGAGAAGAGAGAAGCTGGAGCATCATACGAGACAGGCTGCAACAACAGAGACTGAGAGAGTGCAGAGGTTGCAGAAAGAAAGAAAGGATAGAAGGAAGGGAAGAAGAAGAGGGAACGATTCCAGAGATGCAATTCATTTATAATCCAAGACGTCAGAAATCCAAACAATCAGAGCGGTAAACATCCCAGCGACTGTTATTTTTGGATTAAGATTAATACATGCTGCTCGTCACACAAACAAACGTGTGTGTTCACAGTCTGTCACATCGAACCCTGAGGCACAAACACACACACACATGACCTGACGTGTTTAAGAATGGAAGAGGGGAGAGCAGATCTAATTGCTTAAATATATTATGGATAGGTGAGGAAGGCTAAAGCTTGCCCCCTAGTGTTCATCCCTGTCCCTGTTGGCAGCAGAAGAAGAGCAAAGAAGCCTCCATCTTAACAGAATCACCTCCTGATAACGCAGCCTTACATACCACTCCATATAAACCAGCAAAAAAAAAACCTTTTCATCACTCTTTTTCTACATATCATATTCGATTTTTTTTAGAGATGTTTCTCCAGTTTGGTGATCATTTCTTGATTCAATGGTGGGTTTTTTTTTTTTTTTTCCTCGTTCAGTCGACTTTGAGGACTGTAATACTCATCTCAAGGCCTCTCAGTCAGTCAGACAGCTCATGTTTTAGTGGTTTGAAGTGTTTACTGCAGCAGCTGGACAGTGTTTGTCTTTGGTGCTGATTTATTTTACTGACAGAAAACTGAAGAGAGTTGAGACAAAATCCTAAACCCTCTGTGGTTGAAGCTTGCAGGAGGATGCAGCACTGATGCATGGCACAAAGAGATCCTGCTGCTTAGATCGAGTGCCAGATTTAAAGACTGCGTTTATAGGGTGATGGTGAGAATGGCACATGGCAAATGGGAAATCAGAGCGGCTTCAGCAGCCTGCCTGGACTAGCTCACACCATTTTCTGAATCAAGAAAGCCTGCTATGGTAACAAAGAAGGGCATTTGCTTGCTGTGATGGTCATGGATACCTCTAGTAGTATGTTTTTTTTTCAGCTTAATTTTACATCACAACTGAGATTCAATATGATGCAGAAAAAAAAGTTTCATTTTGACAAAGGTATTGACATCTTGAGTGTGTCTAACTCTAAAAGAACTTCAATAAATGTTGATATTTAGGCTGAAACAAAGGTGCACACTCCTCTTCCTTATGACCTGATGTTGATGTCAGCTTTGTTATCAGTGTCAATATTTTTTCAACTTTTTAAAGACGTATTTTCTGTCAAGCCTTTACTCTTTACCGTTTATATTTTTGCCTTTATTGGTTAGGACAGCTGACGAGACACAGGAATCAGAGAGTTGAGGAAGAAATGCAGGAAATGTTTGTGGCCGGGAATTAAACCAGTGACTATAGCTTCTATAGGTTTGACTGCAAGGCCGTCAGCATCACAAGTTTATGTTTCCTCTAGCTGCTGGTTTAGTTATAAATATGTTTTGATTTTACCTCATGAAGGTTAGCATACACTGTTAGAATTGAAAACTGATTTTTACCCAATTTTAGTCACATGCTTGATTTTCATTTCAGACAAATTTCAGCCTAATCTAAACTTGTTAGAAACACTAATATGATGGCCTCGTCATACACATTAAAACTGTTTTTTCTATGCATTTCCAATGAGCAAAGGTTGGCGCATGCATGTCTGCATCAGTCTACTGGGTGCTGTTGTGCTCCATTGATTGCTGACATGGAAACCTTGCTGTTCTTCATCATCATTATGTGGTGCAGGGCTGAATAAGTATACCAGTCTTAATAGTTTTTAATTTGCAGCTCTGTATGCAGAAGAAGATGCACAATACGCAAGACCACAACACCACATTACTGCCACTGACTGGTCTGATGTTGTGCTTAGTAAGTGCTAAGTCTGGTTTAGCTCCAGGTGGAACAACAAACTGCTTGGTCTGTTTTGTGAAGGCTGCAAGACTAACTTTGGTTTCCTATTATGATAAACTTCCCTTTTTTTATTGCTAACATGGGATGGATTATGTGTTTTTCATTTTTTTCTGAGGCTGGCTTAAATAAAACTCTCCCAAATCCTGGTCGTTCATTTTTCCTCTCACATTCCCTGATATGCACAAACACAACAGCTGATACTGGTGTCTAATATTTGCTGTCTTTTGGAGATGTTGGAGATGCACAGGGTGCAATAAACCAATATCAATATTTTTACTGTTCGGCTCAGCTTTACTGATGAAGCAGCATACATTTAATTGAATAAATACAGCTATTTACATTAAAATACACTGTACAGAAGGTTCAAAGAGACAAACACAAAGTTGAAGATGTGGAAATGAGAATCTAGTATATGAATATTTCCTGTGACCGCTTGTATAAGTATGATGACGAATAATAAAGCGGCTTTGCATCAAAGGCCATGAAAAAGACAAGCCCTACAGCGGAGAGGAGCTACAAAACACAATGAGAAGAGGACAGCTTCATGGCTAATAGTGTATAAGCCCGTGGATCAACATCAAAGTCACGACTACATTAATAGAAAGATCCATTATTTGAAAGATAAAAAAGAATGGGATCTATTAAATAAACCTCCGTCCGCTCGGCTCTGGAAATTCTCCATTTTGTACTGCCAGCAGCTGATTTGATTTAATAATGTGCAGTGATTCAACAGTGGAAAGCAAAGCAAAGGCGAATGAGGAAAACATGAAACATTAACATTCAACATGTTCAAAGAGAGGAGAGGACGTACAGTTCTTTAGTGAAAAATGAACAGAATCAAGTCTTTGTGAGAGAGAAATGAGACTAAGCCACTAGAACCATGAAACACTGGGAAATGTTTCCACACTAAATTGGATGGTTTACACTCTAAAACCTGTTTTCATGCAGCATTTCAGCTCCCACAATTGTTTCTACTGCAGAGAAACGTCCCGAGTGCTCTTTTCCCACATCCTTTTTTTCTTGTTAACCTTTTCCAACTGCCCAGGCTACATGTGTCCATGAACGAGAACGGGCGTATTCATGAGGAAAGTTGCCCTTCTGTCCACGCTGTACACCAGAGAGATGTTCTCAAATGGTTTAGTCTTTTGTATCTCTTTGTTTTCGGCTAAGCACTGCAGTTTGACAGCTCTAATCCCAGTAGCCAGTGTGAAAAAAAAAAAAAAAAAAGGCAAATCACACCAAAGTGACTTCAGCAGCTTAGCTGTCATCAGCCCAACATGGTTATCAGTGGAGTTTTATGAAAAATAACACTGCACAAAGCCATTAGCCCTAATCAAGGTAAACTCCAATCATCAACCCCTCGTCAAGAAGGGATTTATTCTCCAGGAAGGCAATTATATCAGCAGATAAAAGGACCAAACTTCAATCGATAGCCCGTCTGTACACAAAAACAGACACTTGTAACAGCAAAAGCCGAGCCTTGATGTAGCAGGGATTTCATTTGTCTAAATGTCACGCCTCAATTGGAAGCAGTGAATATAAAAGTTGTCCACTAATGTTGTTTGTCAAGGACGGATATTTCTAACTGGAACCTTTTGGATCAGTGGAGGAAAAAAATAATAATTTCAATGCTCAGCAAACACTCAGTATGTTTACATGCACAGTTATGGTTGAAGCTTGATTTGAATATTTAATTAAACTTTTGTCCTTGTCCCAGTTCATCAGCACCAGGCAAGAATTGGTTACATGCCTCAAATAAGCTTGTAACTCCTGGGCTGTTTCCTGGTTGACCTTATACGTCACACGCCAAAACAGTCAACAAACACATCAGCAAGTGGCTTTGTCTTTTTAGTCCTCACACCTGATATGATTTTGTTTACAACCTTGTTTCCTAGCAATGTACTAGTGATGTTCAATTTAGGAGAGTCAAAGCTTGGTATACAAACTTGAGAGTGTAGGTAGAATACTTACGATCCTCGATCACATTATTTGGGTATGTAAATGTATTTTCTAGTGGAAGTAGTTTTGGGGAAATCTGAGTTTTTATGTACCTGTATTAAAGTCTAGTTTAAGTCGGACTTCAGCAAAAATTTCATTTTTTGTTACCATGTAAACATACTGACTGGGAATCTGTCAGTCTTGGCTCAAATGGCTTGAACCAACCTTCAAACATTGTTTTAAATCTGTCTGAATTAAAATTATGCTGATGTGAATAAAAAAAAAACAGACACAAATGGGCATAAAGTAGAAGAAATTATATTTACATTTGATATAATGCAAGTTAAACGACCTTAATATTTATGTTAAATAAAGGGAGGTTAAATACTTTGAATTGGTAAAGCCCCCCCATTTTTGCAGCTTATTAAAACTATAAGAGACCCGACTGGGACCGAAATTGGACTAGTAAATAGAGACTCTTCCCATCTGTGGCCTTTATCTATATGGTTACCGACCATGCAATCATATTTAAGCCAAATCAACCATGCTACCATTATGCAAATTTATGGCCAACTCTTTGGCTTTGATGTAATCTAAACCAATGTGTCACAGCACCTCTTTAATTGTCCACTAACAGAGCATGGAGTAATGAGCCACACAGACCAAAACCATTCAATGAACCAGGCGGTAAACATGTTAATTTGATTGTAAAAATGGGGATTCTTTGTTTTTTTCAGCCAGATTCAATGATTAATGAACGGCAGTCAGATCTCTGCTCATGGCCAATGAAGAAAATAGCTCCCACAAACCCTCAGACCCATCATCCTGACATTTCTTCTTTCCTTAACCCAATAGTCTAAGCCCCAAAGACCAAGATCCGGGTCATAAAAGCTAAAAGGCGTCCTCTATGTAGTGCTTTACAAATTGCAGCCCACTCATCCATTCACTCTCTCACACACACACCAATCCAAGAGTGCTTCCTTGCAGAGCACTGGCTTAACCATCTGGAGCAAATGGGGTTCAGTGACTTTCACACTTCCTCATGTGGACAGAAGGAGCCAGGATTGAACCACCAACCTTGTGATTGTCTGACACTTCATTTCTTAAACCTTGGCATTTGAGGAAGTTGAGAATGTTTGGCATTCAGACAGCTTGGGCAAATAATTTTCTGTCGCTGAAATGATCAATTACTGCAATTATCACCTCAACACTGGAGCAGAGCACAGGTTTGATGTCAAAGCCTCTTTTCCTGTTGAATCCAAACACATGCATGAGGAAGTGTTATTACTGTGTTGCTCTATAGTGTTTTTTTTTTCTTTTTATTCCCAGGCTTTACAGTCTGGGAGTCCTGAGTGTCTACGATGCTGGCTTCCTGTCAAAACATTCGCCTGTTGAGGGCCAACTCTTGGTTGGGGCAGGAAACGCCTACACGCAACAACAGTCTGAGCGAAAACAAGCTCCTTATTTTTGGTTTAGTGATTTTTACCATTACATTTCCATTCATTAAAATTCTCTTTTCAAAAAGAATAAAACACCAGTCTGCCGGGAAAGCAGCATCAAAAACAGCCATGTAAACACAACACAGGGATCCTGGGTCAAAAATTGATGAAATAAAATGAATCAGTGAATTCTAATCAAAAGTTGTCAACTTGATTTCTACCTTACTCTTTTAACTTTCAGACTTGTCTCTTGTCTTGTCTCATTATGATTTAACAACCTTGATTCTTAGACCCATTATCCAGGCAATTCTGCTGCCTGTAGCGGAACAAATTAGTTTTTTTAGCCACAACCTCTTTACACGGTGTGCAATACAAAAGGGGCCAGGGGCAGAAAAGCACATGCTCCCTACAAAAGCAAGTGTCAGTAACACCTTTTATAAACTCACCACTCACAAGGCACCATAAGAACATTTATAAAGACTGAGAGTTCACAGAGATCTCTTAAGATGTGTCTTAAATTGTGATGATCTCAAAGGGAAGAAAGTCTGATTCATACTTACACAATGTTAAGACATGGTACTGAGGTCCTTATGTGGCAGCACTGTAAAAGGTAATTAACCTTATGGTCTATTTGACAGTTGAAGCATAGTATTAAGAGTCATAGAAGTTAAAACCTGTTATGTTATGTTATAATACACTGAATGAGGTCTCTGAACCTTTGAGCTGGATCCATCACCCTATTATTTATGAAACCCAGAATTCCAAAGGCAGTGTTTCTCATCCTTGAAATGTGAGCGGACACACTTCCGCAACTTTGATTTGTTTGTAGGTATGAAGATAATCTGCACCTGCCGCTGACTGCAGGTAGCTTTAATATGCCCTTTAATATACTTAAACACTGCTAGTTTAAACCAGAAATCAAATTTATGAATTTAATTCATATTTTGTAATGTATTAGCTAAAACATGTAACCTAAACATGACCATGAAAAACAAGATTTAAAACATTCAGCTGAATTTGTGGCAACTGGCAGATTTGAGCTTCAGATTTGATTCAAAGTGGTAACAAAAACAACAAATTAGGTAACATATGCAATATGGTGTCTGTTGGTAAACATTGTGGCACTGGCAAGTGGCACAACAGCACAGGTGGCAGGACATGACTTATCTGCAGGAATATAACCTGTTTACATAAGTGCATGTGCACTGAGCTCTTGGGTGCTAAGTCAAGAAAAAAAAGTGCATTTACACATTCAGTATGGACTATAATCTAGAGTCACTGATTTTCTGATGGCTAGTTATTATTATATCTATGTTTATAAATTTAGAGGCCATAGAGGCCCATGTGTTTATTTTAAGGAGACAGGAGTTATATGCTGTTTAAGGTATGCTCGAAATGAAGCCCACGCAAAGACTCAGGTGTGGACCAATGTCTGTGTTTTTTTTCTATTGTATACATTTGGTTCTGTCTGTTTAGGTTTCACACTGTCAAAATTGCAAACAGACCAACAGACTTTACATGACGAACCTACATGATATCATCATCGACTAATGCAATGCATGTCTCTGTAGTTTACATTGATGGTCATTTGGCCGACGGGTGTCTGACGTCAACATGTTGTGTAGCACGTCTCTTGAATGTTGTAAACATGAATGAAATCTTTATGCCCATCATCATATTATTGTTAATTCTCTTCTATCAACAGCGACAACTGTTGTTCTGAGTTTGTCTTATAACTTTTATCATTAGACTTCAGACAACTTAATCATTGTCTACAGGAAAGGAGAATAAAGTATGAACTCTTAAAAAGGTAAGCTGTCAATAGTGAGGTATAACTTTATGTACAATTTTATAAAATTTCCCGTTCGTGGTCAATCTCCATTCAACGTAATAATTGACACTTCTACTCCTCATGTCATTTCCTGTCTTTGGTACGAAGGTCAAACCTTTTAGAATAATGCTTTCACACTGGACATGAACCAGACTGCAGCTCAGTGTGGTCCGGACTGAGACCACCTCCGTATATGGTGGTCATAAGCTATTAACTGCAGGTAAATAAATGCTGTTTGCTAACTAATGGTAACAATTCATGAATGATTGGCATTTAGGAACCCAACACTGTGCCTATGATCATATCCAAGGGGTTTTTGTGTATCTGGATTATGTACAAACCTACCCCCAGATTTACTGTTTCATGAATAAGACCCTCTGTTGTAAATTTTGCATGAAGATATCCCCATAATTAAAATCCACACTTTAATAAATCATCATGTTTACCTTCTATCAAACGTATAAATCTTGCCTTAAGTTGTTATGAATGGTTAAAATAACTTTTTTTATGACAGTTATACGTCTACTACAAGTATTTATATGCGCCTCTGATGCATTCTGAGAGGTGGCTTGATAAAAAGTGTTACTCAAGCGTCTAATTTGATCTACTTTGAGAGCATGTTCCTCCTGCCGGAGGTGTCGGGCAGACACAGACCTGGACATGAAGGTTATGATCTAATGTCTCTGCGGCGGATCAGTCTGACGAAAGGATTCTATGTGGACGAGATAAGCAGCTGCCCTTTCCAAGAGAAGAAGTAGCCCATTACACGGGGTTGTACTATCTCCCTCTGTGAAGGCTGCCCTCTGATACTGCCGGGCAGAGCTTAGGAGAGGAAATGCAAAGCCATCATCTTATTGCAGGGAAAAGGAAGCCTTTGTGGATTACAGTTTTTAATATCTTTTTCTTCCCTCTAAACTGAATATCACAGCACAAAGCACGGATAAGCAAACAAGGGGAGAAAATCTGCCTGTATTTTTAAACATACTACCCAGCCTGTTTGTGTTTGGAGTAGTTCGCCATACCTGTACAAATTCAGAGGGATTCTTCACCTTTGAGAGGCTTGCAGGATTTTGAGGAAAGCCGACCAGGGAGACATTATCGGCAGCAGAATGGAGTCAACGGGCCGAGGTGAAAGAGGACTCCGGATCAAAAAGAAACATCAATTGACTCTTGTCACCTTTGCTAATGCCATTATTCAAACCCCAGTATTTCCTGCTCTGTCAATAGGATCTGGCACTGAGCACTTACAGTCTGTTGGTTTCTGTCCTCACCTCGAGACTAATATCCAACCAGGAGGACTTATCTGATGCGACCTTCTTTTTAAATCGACGCTTTGAAGATCAGGGCTGAGGTCAACATTCGGAGTCTATCCCCTAAAACAGCTTCTGCTCTCCTGTGAGCGGTGAGGCTAGACACACTCCCCAAAACCAAGTCGATAAAGTATCTGCTCATCAGGCAGCGTGACAGCCTGAGAGATGAGAGCACATCAATCATGTGGACTCCAATAGCTGCTTTGCTCCGTGGCTCGGATAAAATAGAGAGAGTACAGACTGGCGAGTCTTTAAATAGGCACCAAAGGAGCCAAACAGAGACTTTTTCCATCTCTCTTATTTGGAGTGAGGTCAAAAGGTGGTGATGCCCTCAAGAAGGTTTGGGTTTTCCACAGCTGTGCATGCTCACTATGCCAGCCAGCATGACTTTTCTGAGGGTATTCCAGCGATATCATTGTCATGTCTTTTGAGAGAGACAAAAATGATACCTACCTAGTGAAGAAAGTCCAACACAAACCACTATTTTTATTAAATCAACTTCTGATTAATGCGGGTATGCATGAAAGAAGAAGAGGTTGAGCCAAGCAACATTTTCAAAGTGGTGAATTTCTTACTAACTTCCAATTGAACGACTTTCATATTGTTGCTGTTTTGACGGCGTCAATGACAAAATACGACGGTTTGGGGAAAGTGAATTTCATGTACAGATGCATAAATATGCGAGGAGCTGTTGGGCAATATGAATGATGCAAATAGTACAACGTAAAAAAAGTGAGTTGTATGTGCAAATGATGAAAATTCGTGACATGTTTGACACTCTATCCATTCACTTATTCACGAGTTGGAATCGGAACTCAAGCAAATGAATTGTGTCTAGATAACCAATCAGCATACAGAAACCCTTTGGACATGCCGACAACGGACTGGAGGAGGCTTATTGGTCTTAAAAAATAAAGGATGAACTAGGACTAGGCGATTACATGATCATAATTAATGATCATGATAAATTTTAGTTCGATCACGGTGATCACCTATGAGCATATTTACTCGATCAAACATGGGATGAAATGTGCGTGACAACAGCCAATCAGAGTCAAGCTTTTCCTGCTCAGAAATGAGCAGGAAAGGAGAAGTTCTAAGTTGCAGGAGAAGTAAACTGGAGAAGTAAACAGAATGACCGAATGTGGAGCTAAACCCAGAGCTGAGGGCAGCGAAATCGATGTCAGCCATAACTTTGAGTAATCTTTCAAAGACGCCATTGTTGAGAAGAGAAGTTATTCAGCGTTGGTTGTGTGGCGGTGGTTCGGGTATCTCCAAAGTGATGCTGAGCAATTGAGCCGATGTGCAAGATATGTCGGCGGTCGGTGCCCTCAAAAACCGGCAACACAACAAATCTGTTTAGTCATTTTAAGAAGTACTTCTGGAGTGATTATGCAGAAAGTCTGAGTCTGCACAGCCTACAACTACTGACTGCACAAGTAGCATTACAGTTTAGCCACAGCTAGCTGTGCAGCCACCAGACCAAAGCAGCAATCAATTGTATCATCTAGTCATCTAATGTTTACATTTTAAGGTGTCTTCATTATACCTGAGGGGGCGATTTGTTTATTTTGGAACATACCTGCAAAAACACTCAGGACTATAAACTACTTCACTGTATTTTTTAGTATTTATCTACATTTGTACTATTGAGTAAAAATGTTTTTTTTATAAAATGTTAAACAAATCTCTAGTTTCTTTAGTTTTTTGTATAGATTCTTTAAAACTGGCAGCTACCAAAACTGAATATAAAAATACAAAATAAATCGTGATAATAATCTAGATTGAACGATAAATATATTGTGGTCATTTTTTTGCCAAATCACCCAGTCCTAGGATGAACTGATCATGCCGGTGTACGGCTGGTTTTAGCGTTACGATTCAACCTTGTTTTTTGAGGATAGAGGATTAAGATCACTTTGGCAGTCAGATTATCTGGTGAGTTGTCATAACAACAAATCCAGACGACGCAGCCAACCTCAACCATGTATGATGAAATCAAACTGAAGTGGTGTGAAAGAAACCTCCACCCTTGGATTAATTCAGGTGTTTGGGCACTCACACAGACATGGTCTGGAGTTTTAAGTGGAGTAAGTAGATAATTAAGGGTGTAAACACATAAAAGGGTCGTTTTGGGACTTTTTGAATGCACCCTAAATAGTGACAGAAAATCAGAGTTGTGACACAAGACAAGAAAATGACTATGAAACACAAAACTTTGAAAATACAAAACCAAAAAAAAACGAACTCATGACAGTTATTTGGAAAGAAATCAAATGCCATGGACACTCCTGAGTATAGTATTAAAATTCCAGCCCCTCCTTCATGCTAATATAACTCCTGCTACTGTCTTTCTGTTCACGTCTCATATCTGCCATAACAAACTTTGCAGGGATGCGAAACGAGACGCATGATGAGCTGAAACCAGCTCTGGCATCAGGTTCCCCAGGGTGACTTCAGAGCAGGCAAGTCACAGCAGCAGCAGATGTTCAGCTCTGGCACCTGTTGACTGCAGTTGTCACCCAAAATCTGAGCATGTGTCTCTGAGCTACTTAGAGGCGCTCTGCTTTCATATAGCGGGGAAACTCCTGGAACTTCAGTCGAGGCAAAGTGTTGATACAGTGGTTGAGTGAAGACAAGAGGCCTGGCCTACTTTCTCTTAAAGAATTGGGTTTTGACACTTTCCATCCAATCAAATATTTCTATTGAGTATTTTATAAAAGTCAGCTTTTCATGCTGCAGATTTAATACAAGTTACTTGATGTAGGATAAAGCTGTCACAGTGTCTGATTATTCGCAATTATCAAGGCTGTAAGAACTCAAAATAACAATATTAGTGCAACAATTTTAGCAAACTTAGAAGAGAAAACATGTCTGCTATTTTTTCTTATCCATTGACTCAAACAGACTGCTTATCTTAATCCCTGGCTGGCTCTTGTTCTTCGTAGAGGCTGTCCAACAAACAAACCAAAATACTGTCAAATCCCATATTTTAATAACTTGGCTGGAAGAGTACCACAGATAACTTAATGTTACATTTCCCATCCCAAGGCTAGCAAATTAAGTTTGACTCATTTAGTCTATCATGATGAGATCTGCAGGATGATGATGAAAGTGAGGACTATAGAGGAAACAAAAGTTGGTATTAATACACATTAACTTTTAATAAAAAGTCCCCTGTGAGATTGATCAGTGTCTGGGTGTGGATCTGCACCACTGTAACCAATGGCCCCTCAGCTGAGGAGTACAGCATATTTGTGAATGGGATGAAGTCGTATGTGGTTCATACTTATGTGTTGACTCTACGCCAAAGTGGCTAATACCATCATAGGAAAAGACATTATAGCCGCTGAGGGGGAGGATGGAAGGTGGTGGTGATAATAGAAATGTTTGCTGCCACATGGACCAGTCACAGAGGGCTGTTTTAGATGCCTATAATCACAATTTTTCATATCAAGCTACATAGGTGGGCCTCCTCGCAGGTTCAGGACTACAAAGGCCTACAGTGTATGTCTTAAGAGGTGGGCTATTCCTTTCATGAAATCCTTAAGCTTATTTAAATTGATGTCACAGGCTGGGAAAGCTTTTCTTTGCTGCTATCGTGCTGACTTTGATAATCAGGATGCTTTGCATCAATGCAGGATGTTGTGTTACATGTTACATGTCCCAGTTATGTGGTTTCTATATGGGTTCTCCAGGTAGAGAATCCATATTTTAGAAAAAAAAAAACAAGATTTGATGCTCATGTGTCCAAAATAGTCAAGATTATGACCGCCATAAAAACACTTAAATGGTTCGAAGCAGGTTTCCATTAGCTGCTGGTTTTGAAACCCTGGTCATGTGTCCTACCCCATTTGACTCAGCAGATTGATTGCTGGCATTGCATTGACTTTTAGCATGTGACAAGCGATTTGTATGGCAACATATGACTTTGAAAATCTGCCCTTATACTGCTGCGTTCCCTCAGTCCTCAAAGAACGTAGCATCAGTCAGTTTTATCTGTTTTCATCGCCTCGTCTCAGGCAGATAAGCCATTTGTGCACCTCCTCAGGTATGCGCCAGCGTACAGTATGCAGTTAATGATACAAACACACCACAGACACTCTGCCATCCATCTTCCTACTACCCATCATTTCTAAGTCAATTAGCCAAGTCAATATGCTTTGTCGGTTATTACCCACAATATAACACAGGTAAATGACTTCTACGCACTGCGGAAACCTTTTACGCGTTGACACCGAGGCGAAGGGAGTTGGAGGGGGAAAAGGACGACAGATTAATGGTGGTGAACAGAAAAAGGTTTCTCAGTGGGGGAACTTAAATGGTGAGAGAACATTGTGTAGGTGGCCTCATTACATGAAGATAGTGGAGCTGAAGTAAGGAACTCTATGCCAAGCAGTGAAAAAGATACAGGAATCCAGAGGGCGACATTAGTATGCATGCTTTACCTCTCCTTCTCCATCTTCCTCAGTTCTCTGAGTTCTCTGCTGCAGTCTGATCTTCTGTGCCGTCACCAGCCCCACTATACCATCTTCCAAGATCCCCTATTCCCTGTTTTATCATAAACATGCTATGTCGATGACAGCAACGTCGCATGGGGGAAAAAGGAGCTGAAATCTTTCTCTGAAAAAAACTCAGTCAGAAAGCAGTTGTGACACTGGATCTCTAACATTGTGCTGCCAGCTGAGTCCTCAGAGGGGGGAAGAAAGATGCATACCCCTGCTGAGGGGACATGGTAGATATTTACTACAAGTTTTGAGATACATACACAGCAAGAAAGGAACTGGGTGAGAAAACACAAGGTTGATGAAATATAAATGGAGCTGTAGTGAATGAGATGAGACAGGGTTTTCTCTCAGGTTCAGACATGTTCTCCCTCTACATTTGTAAGTTCGAGCAGCTTGGTCTTTAGCTGCAAAATATGATGATCTTGGTGGTATATTCAGTTTGGCACATGCAGAGCTCTAAGGCAAAATCAGCAATGAAAAATATGCAATAAAGCATAACCTTTCAAAATTCAGCTCATGTGCAACTTTTTTTTGTATGTTTTTTGACATGTGAATGTGAAACACTCAGGTGGTTAAGGGCCTTTGTCCACTAGCAGCATACTTTTGAGCTCTATAAGCCCCCAAACTTACTCAACATCATGACACTCTCAGTTGAAAATACATAGTTCAACTTGGAGAAGACTTGTCAGCATCACTCAAAATTAAGATAGGATGAACTTTGTCAACTGCTGTTGTGGAATTCTTGTTATAAGTTCCAGCTCTGTGGCTAAATGTTTGTTTTTATTTAGACTAAGGTTTACTATCAGTGGAAGTTGGACAATTTCTATTCCCAGGAGCAAGATGAAGCACCCATAAACTGAGGTCATGTGCAGTGCCACTGCAAAAAAGCTGTGAGTGGACACAGGCCCTAAGTTGAACACTTGAAAAATAATTAAATTAATTGTGGTGCTTCTATGTGATATCAAAATGCAAATAAGGCCATCAGGTAGAATATTCGTTTTTCTGTTTAGCACTTTTTATGCTTGTAAATACTGTCACTGGGCAGATGTCACACTAAATGAGCAGAAACATGCTGTGGAAACAGCCTTTGTTGATGTTTTCCATGGCAAGGGTTCAAAGTAAGCTGTGTGACGGATAAAAGACAGCAGGATGAGATAATTCATCAGGAAACACTGTCCAAGTGTCAAGTAGAGAAGTTTAGAAAAGAGACAAGTACTTAACATCATCATACAGAAGCCGGGTCTCCACGGTACTATATGTCTACTCGTCACATGAGCACTAGAACATAGGCATAACCTGCACAGACTGGTGGGTATCCTCACTCCCAGCGGGATCACACAACATGGAATAAATCTGAATTTGTGTGACCCATCTTTTCCCTCAGGACTTCCACCCCCATCTGAGTACATCAGCAGATTTCGAGACAGCATTACAACAAAACAGCACAGGGATGCCTTAAGTGCCATGTTTTGATGAGCTGCACTACTGTTCAAGCTTCACTTTTTGGCTTGATGACTTCACAGGTTACACAGTTTTTAAGCGGCATCCTCTGGGGTTGAAAATGAAGCCGGTGCACAAGTGCAAAAGAACCCAAGAGTCCACTTAAGGGCTGGCTGCAAATGCCAAAGAATCCCCACTAAGTCCCACATTAAAATGTCTAGTTTGACAGCCTGGTTCAAAAACACTTTTGAGACTTTCTTACACACTTATACAGGTGTGTTTTTTGGGCATATTTTTGAAAGGTACGGTGTGTACCTTTCAGAAATGCCCCCCTGCTCATCTCTTGTATTGGTGAGGTGATGGTGGCTCTTGAGGACAAAAAGTTTTGGTGATGCATTTTAAGTTTGATCCTCTATTAGTCAAGTTTTTACCATCAACCTTTTGTGGCCATTGACTAAATATAAAAACACATTTGTAACTAGTTTGTCCATTCTGAGTTACTGTAGAAACAGAGCAATGCATATGGAGGCTGTGCATAAATTAGCATAATTATGGGTTATTATAGTTAATGGGCACAGAGTGCTGTAGCTGTTTGTCAGAGGCCTAAAGCCCACCTCATCTCCACATCTTGATGTTTCTAGATTGACTGAAAGATATGATGAGTCAGCATTTTCCAGAAGGCACCTGCCATCATTAGGCTTTTTCAAGACCCAATAATTGATGTCCATTTTAATCCCATTTTGATGCACAGACTATCACATTCACACTGCCCAATAGGACATTTTCTTTGCATGATTTACTCGGTCATTAAAAGACTATTACTATTTCCATGTTTTTTGTTTTTTTTTTTCTTCATAAATTAGCCTACAGGAAGCTTGCGTTGCCTACACTGGCCTTCGTTTAAATACAGTATTTATTTGGTGTTCATCCCCAGTTGCACTTGGCTAAACTCTTTAATTTCCACACCACATTTAGTGGCAGTGTTGCCTCATCAGAGGCTCATTTTCAACAGAGTGTTTGGTGAATAGCTGCAGGTCTGGATTTTTATTTTTTTTTTTTGTAAAAACAGTCATTAAAACATCCACTTAGACTGTCTGTGGAGCCCATTTTGTGCTCCAGCAAAATGGCACTGCCACCTGGGGATTCACAAACCAACAAAGTAGCCCTGGCAAATATTGATATTCAGTAATATTGTAGTGTCAGTAGGTTTATTGTTTGGAGCCACCACCGAACACTGGAACAATAACTCCTCCAAACCGGTATGGAAATAAGACTACAGCTCTCAGAGTCCTGTTTAGCATCGCTCACATTTCATGCAGTTCTAATCTGATTCTGGCTGAATGTTAATGGACCTGACTGTTCTGTGATTGAATTACTAAACCTGCTACTAACTTGTTTGCTTCCAAGATATCATCTTCTCTGTCGGAGTCGCTCTGATTAGTCTGTTGGTTTTCTAATATTTAAACTGCAGGAACATCGGTGGCAGGATTTGTACAGGAACAGGATGTTTATGTGGGAAAATTGGATCTTAGAGTTTTCTCTCTCTATTAGATCAACGTGAATAGTGTATTTCGTCTTCATGTTCCCCTTCCTTTGTGTCTTTGATATTTTAGGTTCATTCCAGTCGCATTGCGTTTTAATTTGGGCTGGCATCCTTGAAATTAAAGGAAGATAAAAGGGAAACTGGCGCTATGTTAATATCTCTTTGAAGATGGAGTCAATCTGGCAACAGAATGCCTAGCCCTTATTTCCTTTCCCTTACCCCCCTTCCTGTATTCAGCACAGTGGATGAGAGATAACTGCAGACTCAGCTTAGCAACAGCTTACCTGAGGTGGAGGAACTCTTAAAGCCTTCTGCTTTCATCTTGCTCCTTGTGGCAGGAAAAAAAAAAACAGGCTTTGTTTTGTGTTTTTAATCTACATCTGGACCCTGAATATTTATCAGTGTCATTTCTGCTTATCCCAACACTCTTCCCTGCAGAGAAACACAGACTGTACCTGTCAGGCTGGATTTGAAAAGGTTGTGGGAGACAGATATGGGTCATTAAGCGTGGTAAAAGAAGCTAAACGTAATGTTAAAGCACAGGTCCTACTGTCAAGTATTTCCTCAATAAAGTACTTCAACATTTATAACATAAAGTAGCTTGTGTTCAGTGGGTCATATCATGATTGGACTGCATTTCTGTGTGTGCTATATATCCTGGTATACCAAGATAAATATGTCCTCATAAATATAAATACTAGCTGTCAGTGATGACGCATTAATCTGGATAAAATTAGGACTAAAAGTAACATATTGACAGTTTTTGGGACACCACTTCTGTTCCTCCCAGACAGTTCAATTCAAATAGTCAGGTTGAGTATGCACTTTGTGTCTTAAGGATCATATAACGCATCACCTAATATCACTATAAGTTGGAGTCTATAAGTTAAGCATTGTAGTGCCTGTATGCAGCTGCATCACAAAAGCCAGCAGAGCACTACTTTTGGTTGTGCCTTAACCAGGGATGATTGGATGTCAGCGAGTAATTGAATTTATCTTGGAGTAAATGCAGACCAAATTGACACAGATTATTCATTACATTTAAAAAATAAATGAATAAAAATAGCCACTGGGTTTAATAAGATAAGCACTTTAAAGTGGTCTCCTACCTCTTAGTTATATTTTCAGACCACACTGGTGTAGTACTGTAGCATTTACATGGATAAGAAATCTGAGAGTCAAAAATAAGATTAAACTAGTGAACAACTATAACAATTCAAGGGTTGATTATGTCTGAAAGGATTAAGATTTAACAGCTGCAGTACATACTGTTGTTTGGATGAGCCACATAGACTGTATATACTATGGACAACTTGGCTCCGCCCTCTGTCATTATATGAATTTGAAGCTGAAAAGCTCTCGGTATTTCTGGGATTTTTTCCACTTCCTGGAACCACCACTTGTGCAGTAGCATTGTACGCATTTGGTGGGAAAGTTGCAGAGAGTCGCTCCGATGACGCTCAGCTCAAACAGTGTATCCCTCAGGTGAGCTATGCATCCACGCCCATAGGCTGTATCAAGTGTCAATCATAGAAAACATGAACCCCCTAATAACTTTTAAAATGGAGCTGTACAGAAAAAAGAGGACTTGAGTACAAACCAGTCTTACAGTAACTACATGTCAACATTGCAGTGTCGCCCGTCACCAATTGGTGCTGTTCTCAAAGTGGCTTTAACCATTGAGGAGGCAGACGGCATCCATTTTATATACAGTCTATGATCAGCCATCTTTCTGTTTGTATATAAATGCCTGATCTTTGAAGCCACAGCAGTTGAAAATGTATGATGGAATAAATAAATTAATGTTCATTTATAAATAAATGTAAATATGTTGGTGTAACTGTGGGGAGCAGCACAAAACAGCATTACTTAAGTCTAGTACCTCAAAATGTACTTCAGTGCAGTACTTGAGTAATATCACTTTCCACCAGTGAGTATGGATTATCCTCCTCTATGATTTGTATGATGGGAACGTCTGTATATCAAGTAGGCTTTAAAACACTTTCCCTCTCAGGCTGTTGCCAACCACTGTTTTTGGAATAATGGCTGCGCAGTAATAACAAGTATGAGTGTGCAGCCGCAGCCATTATGCAAGTCCTTCATGCATTAAACTTGCATAATCCTCCATTAGAACTGCACATAATAAAAATGTTGTAAAGAAGAAACAACTTTTCACATTATGGTACAAACTCAGTTAATCGGTAGGCAATTTTATGTAAATTCAGATGATGTAACCTGTAATTTTTCCCAAGAGTCACTCTTGAGAATAGCTCCAAAGTGATGCAGAGTTTCAGCAAATACTGCAATACAAATGAGTGTCTGTGAAAGCAGCATATGTGGCTGCAATACCCTCTGAAGCAGCCTTTTCATCTCCCCCTCAAGCACCTACTGATGCTGTTTTCCAAACCTTTACCTGCTGCAGGCTCCTGTTCACATATTAAACTCTGATTATCACCGCTAAGTAAAGCAAAATGATCGTGTTCGTCATATTTACACAGCAAGTATTTCCCTCTGATGTTGTAATCAAGTACTCAACTGCTTAAACACTGTTAGGATTTATTTCAGGTATACGAACAAACAGAGAAGAATCAGAGGAGCTGAGGGACGAAGGATAAAGCAAATCTATAGGAACACTGGCATATTTAAGGTTATATAAAAGTATAGTTGCTAATCCTTTTTGAGCTCAGAACTATGCCAAAACAACTTAGTGTTAGAAATCAACCACTCACAGGCTAACAGCCAAGGCAGTTACCTAGCTAAGGTAACACTGACAATAATGTTAACCTTTGTTGTTGTCTAGTATTACTTGGCTTTGTTTAATAACCCATAATAACCCTGTTATATTTCATGAAATCCAACTGCAGGTTAATGAGTGGAATCTAACATGCAACACAGAACTGGGTCATCTGCATCAAAATGAGCATCACACCTCATTATAAGAGACATAATATTATCTGCATAAAAAGTAAGAGGTATGGGACCTAAAACAGACCCTTGTGTTGCACCCTTAGTTATTGTTAACTCAACTCCTTTAATGCACTAATTTGAAAAGCCAATTGATTTATATGGATGTTCTGACTGTTCAGATTAAAGCTCCTGTGAAGAGTTTTTTGACATGTATAAAAGTAACTGATTAATACTGATGACTTTTTATAATAAATAAATTCAAACAAGACCATCGGTGAAAAGATTGATGATTTTTATGTTATAGTTTTAAAAGCCTAGAACCAGGAAAAGGGGAAAGGGGTTGGCTGAACAGCTGATTGAAGCAGCTGTTTGTTTAAGATTTTCAAAATAAATGATTAAAAGTCAGCAGAATACGATTATTTATCAAGACTGTTGTGTTCACAGGGGGCGCCAAAATTGACACAAGATGAAAGTTCATCACAGGAGCTTTAATGTTGATTTTATAACTAATTGCCTGCAATGCATTACCCCTTTGCTAACATTACTTATAGGATAGTGAATGGGATTCTTACTATAGATTTGAATTCCCTCAGACCTCAGGCACATTAGCATGGCAGTAACATAGATAAGCTTTACACCCTGAGTCTTTAACTAAATGACAGTGTCTACTGAGTTAATTCATTGAGTTATTGCAGGTGTTTTGATGTCAATCTCTCATTTAGATTAAAAAAAAAAAAAAGGCCATGTTTGTCTGGTTCTTTCATCTGTGGTTCATAACAGACATCCCTAAGAGTCCCCAAGGAGAGCTCAATGAGAAACAAGAAAGAGTGAAGTGTGGGAAATAATCCTCAAGAGTTTCAATGACACCCATATCAGGACTTTGCACCCGAGCCTCCATCATGTCTCGTCTGAGAGCTGACAAACGCGTCACGCTGCGACTTTAATATCCAGTTAATTACACTCATCTTGACCTGCCGGTAAAATGAGCCCAGCTTCCACTGCCGCCCATGTTTCTGTTATCTGTGCAGAAATGCATTAGCGGGTGCCCCCTTTAATGGCTTTAATTAGTCGTAAACGGAGCTGATTCTCCTGTTAAGTGAATGAGGAGTCGATACTGTAATACAGTCCCAATATGCTCCACTCCGACTCTATCTCGCTGAGAAGGTGGTGCACAGGAGGATAGTTTGCACAGGGGTGGCAGAGGGCAGGCTGGATGAGCCCATCTAGTAATAAAGAAGGTATCACATACTCCAGTAGTGTATCAGGCTGCACTCGCTCACAGCTTTGATATGAAAAGGACGTAATTAGAGCGCTGCTGTATTGACAGAGGAATCCTCAAAGACGAGCTGTTTCAATGTCGCTTACATAATACACAATAAGTTTCCACTGGAGCAGACAAAAAGGGCCTATTGTCAGCGGAGCAGAAGGAACTTTGCATGACACCTCCCTGTCATAATAAAGTAAACACATCCTCGGGACGAGTGGAAAGAGACAAAGAATATGGGCTCGGCAAAATGGAAAAAAAAATAATAACAAAAGCTGCAATAAGAGCTTGTATTTACAGTCTTTTAGCGGTGAAAGATGTCTGAATTGATGCCGCCAACAAAAACACATCACCATTATTGGGGCTTTGGTGGCTATGTTTCCCCAATAAACACTAAGCCCATAAAAACCCTTCAGATTCAGTAAATGATGCTTCTTTGAGGAAGAGAAGCCCATAAAGTCCATGTCAGTAAACCATATCTCCTTTCATCCACTCATCTGCAGTAAAGTTTCCAGTCTCCACTGCTTCCATTTGCTGAGTAATGCCTTGCCTCGGCCAGGCCGGTGGTGAGGTGCAGTGCTCTCACACTGCAGGAAGCTAATGGCTGTTTATGGTTTCTAATGCACGATACTATAGCTTTTGAAATTAGACTGTAGGTCTCTATTACGGCGCTGTGTGCAGATAGGATCCATTGACGGGAATTACTATAATACCACAAGTGGCCTCTTGGAGTTTCTGAAGGCATGACTTGACCTATTTTGCTGAGCACTTCCAACAGAACAGTACTTCAATGTAAAGTTTTGCTACCAGCATAAAGAAAAATCAACTTTGATTATATAAGATTTCTATAAGGGGCAGATGGATGGGTACAGTCGGCTGAAAGCTGGAAGCCATTTTTGTACTTCACATAACTCAAGCACAGTCTATAAAAAACTGAATACAGACAAAGGACTAAGACAGAGAGTGAAGAAAACTTCCCTATATACTTGAAAATAATCCAGATTTGCAAAAGTGCTCAAACTAAGGTTGCACAGCGATGTGCGTATTTTCAGTTATCACACTGCAGGATGTGGAAATAACACTTGAAACATGTCACGTTGTTGCTTTTTTAAAACTATTTTATTTGCCTGACCTGAGACCTTAACCCACCAGTTTCTCATTTCATCCATGTTTGATCCACGTTAAAAACTGGTTTCTGGTTTCATCTGAGTGTGTTAGTGTTGGTGTGTCCCATGACTGTAGATTCAGAATGTATGTAACACAGACATCAGACACTGCTGTGCTAAGTTCTGGGTATAATAGAAGAAAGAATGTCATCCCATGCTGCTTGGTTTTGAACACTTGCTCTCTGTTTACATGGGCCTTTTTAGTAACCTTTATCCAATCATTAGATCTCCTTTGTCTGGCTAAACCACTCACCAACCAAACCGACTGCTAATCCCTGCAACCCCCTGGTCTGAGGTAACTATCAGCCCCCCTGTATTCACCTTGGCTGCCTTTACGGGAATCTCAGATGACCTTCAGTTTTTGGCGCAACAGTACCTATTTCCAGGACAGCACTGGAACAGAACAGGGCGTCCTCATCTCACCCCCTTAAACGGTACGTGTGTGTGTGTGACAAGATTATGTTCAAAACAACCATCAGTCAATCCAACATCTGGTTTCCATCTGGGCTGCTGTGCGGAGGAAGAAATCCTGATGCTAAATACACCACAGGGGCTTATTTACTGTCGTGTTGCATCACTCTTTGTTAATGTTTGGGATCCAAGGGGACCAGTTTCTGGAGTTTTTAAAGTGAGATGCTGTTACATTCTCAATAAATGATTTCAAACACGTAAGTTTAGGGTCTCTTTTGCTTTAAATGGGGACTGCAGGAAGGCCAGTTTGGCAACAGGGCTCTTCTACTTCTGAGCCATTTACTTGCTGAATGAGCTGACACTAGTTGATGATATTTACTGTAGATAATAAAATTGTCAAATTCTTTGCAGTTTTGAAATGACTGTCATAATTTAGTCAAGCTGAATGGCTGTCTAACATCAGTCTGGTTCTGCTCAAGGTTTCTGCCTGTTAAAGTAAGTTCTTCCTCTCCACTGTAACTTGATAAATGCTGCAGAGTGTTTCACTCGTGTGGTTGAAGATGGGATGGAAGATGGGTCTGATCTTGCAAAATGGCGCTCAGTCTGATCCTCTCTTTACAATGGGTCTTTGTTAATAGAGTATGATCTAGACCAGCTTGTCTTTGTCCAATGTTGGGATTACTGTTGTTGTGAATAAGTGCTGTGTAAATAAAGATTGATTAATGTCCAGGTAATCAGCTGAGTTGTCAACTGGAATGGGCTGTTGTTTTGAGATGAAGAAGAATAGGTCTTATATTTTCAGATGGGACAGATTGGGTATTTGTAAGACATCAAATTATATATATATATATATATATATATATATATATATATATATATATATATATATATATAATCTGATTAAATTGATTGTTTTTTTTTTTTTTTTTTTTTTTTTTTAAAGGGACAATGTGAATTACACTGAGGAAACATGTCAAAGCAGGAATGACTTATTTTCCTGTTTTTTTTTTTTTTTTTCCAATCAAATACATGGTTGGATTGATCTGCAAAGGTTGTATTAAAGCAAACTGAATAATTTATTCTGAATAAACCAGCCTTATAAAGTCAAAACAGGGACTATTCTTTCTGTTTACATGTTTGGTGTTTACCTTTAAAAGAAAAACACGTAAAGATCTATTTCCATAAATTTCTATCTAAACCTTATTCTGTTCATGTCTTTATTTTTTATCTGTGATTTGTATCATCTGCTGATACCAAGAATAAACAGAATAGACATATGGACACAAGGCCTTTCATAACCTTTTCTCACATTCATGCAAATTGATCTGCTGCCTACTTCAAAAACCCTTCCTATTGGCTCTTAACAGTGGCCTATATCATTTATTTAAAGAACAGTTGAATGCATGAGGAGATATCTGCAAAAACAGAGAAAATTAAAGTGCAGAAAGGTTCCAGGATTGCAGCTCTCTAGCTTCATATGCTTGTTGAGATATATGGGCAAAACCTTAAAAATCAATATTGTGGATAAAAACAGCATCAGGTAACTTTTAGCCATCTCAGAAATATATTTTACGGTACATTGGGTGGTTGACAGTTAATATAAACTCTGGTATCGACTTTAGGAGGAAAACTGCTCTTGAATTCTGATTTCAGTTTCCAGTCATCAAGCAGCTGAATTCCTGGGTGAGATTTCAAACGCTGATCAGATTCACCAGAGTTTCCAGCCTTAATTTCATCGTCACAGCAGAGTAGGCAACATAAAGACCAGGGGAGGCCCGAGCGTCTTAAACTTGGGAGGTGAAGATGTTCTCATTTCGTAGCGTTTTCTCCAAAGTTAACTGCAGGAAATATGAACGGTACATGTTCAACTTACCCCTTCTCAAAATATGGTCCGCCTTCTAAACCTTGTGTGACTCAGCAAGCAGCAGGGGGGCCACTACGTGCATGCATGCATACGTGTGTGTGTGTGTGCATGAAAAGTGCACGAGCAGAGAGGAAAAGCAGAAGAAGCTCTCTCTCCTGTCTCATATTTCTCTGCGGTATAATGCGCCGCCTATTCATGCGCTGCCTTTTAAAGGCATGGTGGGAATCGCTTCACAGTCAGGCACGAAACTCAATATGCTAATGCCTTCCAAGGGAGCGATGGAGGGGGAGAAAACATAACCTGTCAATTACCCACGGTAAAAAAAAAAAAAAAAAAAAAAAAACAGCCACTGAAAGATTTATTGAAAACCACCAATTTTTCCACAAGACAAAAGAGCCAGCGCATGTGATGTATCAAAACAAGAGCCACTGGTAGTTTGAGTAATTACAAAATCAGGCTGAGAAATTAACCTCCTCTGACTTAATAACATCAGGCTGGATTATACAACATTTAAGGCCACATATGGTTGAATTTGTATCCTCATCAATTACGTCTTGAAAGTGCCAGGTGGAAATTTCAAGCTTTGATTTATGCAAGCAGGGAAAAAGCTGGATTTGTCAAAACTCATTATCCAAACAAGTGGAGCGGAGTCTACACTTTTGATGAGAGACATGAAATGGGTAAATAAAGCCTGGAAAGACAGGGGGAAAAACTACACCAGCGATCCAGCATGCATCTGGAAGACAGTGCTGTAACACCCAGCGACCTCAGAGCGTCACCCCCACGAGGAGCTGCTGGCTGAGGACCCGCGGCGGCACAGCGGGATCATCAGAATTGGTTTCAGATTATTTCCTTTCTCGCACAGACATCATCAAGACCCCTCAGCATAATTTGTTTACAGCTCGGAGATGGAGTGTTGGCAGTGCTCATCACCCTCACTGGAATAATTGCTGTGATGATAGGCTTTGCTGGGAACACGGACGGGCATGCGAAAACAAGCACTATTTCTGATTAGAGGTTTTGGAAAGTGAGCCAGGCTGACGCAGCGGCGACAGCAACATATCCCCAGTACAATCTTTTCACTCATCAGATCAATTCCTTCTGAATGTCACAGAGAATTCTTGGGAGGAATTTTTCCCCCTTTCTCCACAGCAAGCTCTAATATGTTGTAAATCATGTAAAAGTGCTGCAGTGCAGGATCTAAACTCTGGTGATTTTTGCGAGGGCTTTGAGTGCCTTGATATAATCATCCTTAATACCTTGAGATGAATCAAATTCCGCTATGAGGCTCTTTGACAGAGAGACCAATTTAGCTGACAAAGGAGCAGAAAAGCTTTTCTTACATCCAAATGCATCACTTTGTATTTCCTGGATGCATTTTTCCAAGAATCATTTAAAATCAAAGTTCCAGCAGCAAGAACGGCTAAAAGAAAGAGAAAAACTGAGTACCTGCTGCAATGTTTCTGTTCCTGTGATAAGTGTTATAAGACCAGTAAAAAGGGAACTTTGATGTTTGAATCAGCTGCATTTGTTAATGCTGTACGGTATGATACAAGTTATACAACACAAACGTAGGCTATGTTCACACTGCAGGTCTATTCAGATTTTTTAACCATATGTGACACATATCTGATTTTTTTCACCAAAGTGTGAACAGTGCAATTCTGATTTTTTCAAATCCGCCCCAGGCCTCTTTTGTATGTGGATATGAATCAGATTTGTATCCAATGTGACCGCAGTGTGGATGCTCAGGTCGCATTCGTTCGACCTATACGTCATCAATAGGCGACAAATGTCACCATTGTTCGACAACACAAACAGGCCCGGAAAACAATTTGTGCTTTGTGCGCATGCGGGTCACTTCACGGACACCTTCCGTTCACATTAGATGCTGCATTCATTGATGTAATGTGAATGACCGCACTAAAAGATTGGATTTAACAGAAAATCTGAATTGTGCGTCATAACCTGCAGTATGATCGCAGCCTTACACAACAACATAACAGGATATGGTATGGAACTGCATAAAACAAAACTATATCATACAAAAATATAAAATAATATATACACAGTAGCTGGATAACAAAGGGGGAAATAAGATGTGAAAAATATTTAAAAAATGAGCTCTCTGGATGCCCTTTCACCTCAAAAGTCTTTCAAAAAAAGTCCTCTGGATGTCCTTCCAGTTCATGAAATTTAAAAAGAGGGCCCTCTCTATGCCCTACCAGCACATAAATTAAGAAAAAGGGCTCCCTGGATGTCCTTCCAGCAGATTAAAATAAAATAAGGCCTTCTGGATGCCCTTCAAGTTCATGGAGTGTAAATAAAGAGGGCCTTTTCCATTAAATAAAATTGAAAAGGCTCCATGCCGAGCCTTCCGGTACATGAAATTTAGAAGAGATGGCCCTCCCGATGCCATACTAGTACAGTGCTCAATAAATGTCTTTCAAGTATAACAAAGCTTTTAAAAAGTCATCTGGATGTCCTGCCAGTACACAATATTCAAAAAAGAAACCCCTCTTGATGCCCCTGCATGAAATTAATTTTAAAAAGGGCCTTCTGAATATCCTTCCAGCTTATAAAATACAAAAAAGAAGCTCCCCAGGATTCCCTTCCTGTATGTTAAATTTAATCGGGATAACCCTCTTAATGCCCAACCAGTACATAGTATAGAAAGGGGGCTCCCAGGGTACCCTAACAGTAGAAAACAGGGCCCTCTGGATGCCCCTCCAATGCATTAAATGTAAAACATTGCCATTGGGTGCCTTTCCAGTGCATTACATGTAAAAAGAAGGTCCTCTAGATGTCCTTCTAGTATATTAAAGGCATTAAGGGGGCTCCCTGATTGCCCTTTCAGTGCATAAAATGAAGAAGCAGGCCCACCGGATGCCCCTCAAATGCATAAACTATAAAACACTACCCCCTGGATGCCTTATCAGGATGTAATACATTAAAAAGCATCCTCCAATAACTCTCCAAGTACATAAACTGTTGGGTGCCCATGGGGTACCCTTTTTGTTCTTTTGGCCCCTGCCCCAAAAAAGCGTGAGTGTACCACTGGTTCAAACTCTCTGGGCTGTGGTCATGTCTTGGTTTAGACATTGCCAAGTTGTCATGATGACTGATTATTACAATATGGCTGAACAGAAAAAGATCCTCACACACCAGCTGACATTTGACAAAGACAAGCACAGGGATGAAGATGTGACCACACTTTTCTGAAACAGTGTGAGAGCGTTAGAGAAACACAAGGATGAGGAAAGCTTTGCACACAAGCTGTGGTCAAAGAAAAAAAAAAACTGGCCTGAGTAAGAAGAAGCCAACATACTGTATAGAGCCCTTCGTGACCTTGGCTTTTCATGTATCAGCCTTGGGTGGTTCTCTAGTTCGTGGGATTTAAACCCACAGTTGACATATGGTCCTGCCGTCCACACGAACCTCATCAGTGCATGAAAATCCATGTCAACCACTTTCCATGTACAGCTACCGGATACTCCCCCCCCCCCCCCCCCCCCCACACACACACACACACACACACACACACACACACACACTTCATGATCATCATCATCCCTCCATCTTCCCACCCCCAACTCCCTGCTTCCCCTGAGCCCGGCAGATTACAGATATCATTATAATGGACGTCCTGGCAGACTAGCTGCGGTCACATTTAATTTGCCGTAGCCTGATATCTACAAGAGATAATCAGCATTAACACCTGAGAGTGAAGACGAAAAGATGAGCGACAGTGTGTATGAGACTCTAATAGAATTAGAAGAAGAAGAATGACCAATACAATGTGAGGGAAGTAGAAGACGGTGAGGGTGAAGGAAAGGTAGTACAAACTGGAAGGAATAAGCATTCTGCACACAATCCACCAGGACAAAGAGAGAGCACCAATGAAATGTGCTTGTCAGATTTGCATTTTAATAAGAATGACCTACTTCAGGACCCTGAGATGACTGAGATCCACATCAACTCCTCTGAATACTGAAGTTGCATCTGAGCTTTGAGTGAGTTGCCTCGCTCTCTTATTGTGCTTTGCTTTGCAAGGGCAGCCCTGTCCAATTACGAGAAGATAAACAATGGTGTCGTTTTTTCAAAGCTGAGGGTAAAGGCTGACCTTACAGTAGCAGCCGAGCGAGATCTTCATTGATCAGACTTTTACTGTCACAAGGATGTTTAGACCGTCTTCCTTTGCTGCTGCAGCTGTCACAGGATTATGCATTCACTTCTCGGCAAATCCTTTCACTCCCATCTGCCATAGAGGGCATTGATTTGTGTATGAAAGAAACTTCTATCTGCCACGTAAAAAAATTTGTGGGACTTTAGTGTAAAGCCACCAGAGCCCGTATATATTATATATGTTTAGCACCTACGGAACGAGCTTTCACATCTATTACAGATCAATTTCCCCTGAGCCGACGAGCAAGGACCTATTTCCTTTGAAGGGCTCCCCATACATATTTCAGCGGTGAACAACCCAGCCAGCCTGCAGGGGAGACACATTGCTGTTGTGAGTGTGTTGCAGTGTGGGTACAGGAAGGCACAATCTGTCAGGAAGTTTCTGAAAAGGATTTGCTCTGCTTAGATGTCTCACTCCCTGTATGGCAGGATGTATAATTCAGCATTATCTTTCCATCTATCTGACTATCCAGCCATCCATATTACTCTCAAGTCCCAACAATGAACTTGATTTGCACAAATTTTAAATTTGAATTACATACTATATGAACGAAAATGACAAGATATTACTGCTCAACCACAAGAGGCACATAAAACAGACTTTAGAGGTAACTCCAATCAACTTTAGTGGCAAGAAATGTGCAGCAGAGGCCAGAAACTGAAAGGAAAAATTCCTAAAGGTGCCAGACTAAAAACCACAGATTGTATATAGAAAGGACGCCATCTGCCATCTTCACTGGGTGAAGCCACCGTGAGAACAGCACCGTCTGGTGACAGGCTTCAGTATAGGTCATAAATTCCGCCTTCAGCAATCCCTGTGAACAAACTCTAGAAATTTATTACACAGAATATACATTTTTCTTCCCCCTGGTTGCGATGTTGACATGTAGTTACTGTAAGACTGGTTTGTGCTCAAGTCGTCTTTTTTTCTGTGCAGCTCCATTTTTAAAAAGTTATTAGGGGGTTCATGTTTTCTATGATTGACACTTGATACAGCCTATGGGTGTACGAAGATTGCTTAGCTCACCGGGGGGATACGCTGTCTGAGCTGAGCGTCATCACAGTGACTCTCTGCGGCTCTCCTGCCAAATGCACACAACGCTAGTGGGCGAGTGGTGGTTTCAGGAAGTGGAGAAAATCTCGGAAATACAGAGAGAAATTCAGTTTCGATTCATATGATGATGGAAGGCGGGACCAAGTTGTCCAAAGTATATACACTCTATGCTAAAAAACGTGCAATGAAAAATTTAAGGATAGAACATACTCGCAAAGTGCCTTATCCTAATGCTGACTTCAGTATTCCTTTTTAGTATTTAACTTGTTTTTCAGGTGTAAACATCATGTTTGAAATCGTCAGCAAATAAAGTGAACAATGCTTTAGATTTGGTCACTTATAAGTCACTAATATATTATAAAAGAAAGTAGTGGTCCAAGGATTGAGCCTTGTGACACACCACGTGGAATTAATTCAGACAGGCGTACATATGCCAACCTCAAAATATAAAAAGTGAAGAGAAATACCTTCAATATGTGTTCTTCTTCATGGCCAGCAAGAGGTGACACTGGTGGTTGTGAAAAGGGGATTTGATGTGTATAAGTTTGTGACCTTTCTTTATGATTCACTACCATCCATCCATCCATCCATCCATCCATCCATCCATGTACCATCTACCAAATGTCCATCTAACCAATCACCCCATCCACTCACCCTTCCCTCCATCCACCCCTCTTTCAATCCATTCATCCACCTTTCCAACCAGGTACTCTGGCCTGTGAGTCTGAGTGGCTGCCTGCTCTGTCATTAAGTGTGCTCCTGACTCTGTAATCTCAAGGTGCATTTTTCTTTCACCCCACACTGCAGAAGGGCCTTTTGAAAGCTTGCTGAAATATGCAGACACTAAATTCACCTTACAGTCTTTGTCCTTCGCAGGAAAGCAACACACATATATGCTGCTTTTGTGCAAGTCACAGGAGTCCTTGTGTAGTTGTCCTTTAGAGGAGATAAATAAGGAGGGCAAGAAGAGGCGACATCAGAGCATACAGTAGAGAAAGATGACCCTGTAGGCCTAAGTACCTCATCAAGTTGGGGCTGAGGATTGAGTACGATGCAGCATCAAAACACTGACTTCCATCTGTCGAGTCTGCAAACTAATAACAACACGCAGACTCTCACTGAATGATCAGAGGGACTGGTGAGTCCATTTTGCGTCACAATCACTAATGAGTTCAACACAGCTAAAAATACCAGAGTATATAGAGAAAAAAAAAAAATCTCCAAAATCTCCAAAATATTTGGCCAGACATCCAAGAGTCCTGCTGCGATGGGTGTAGCAGCCAATACTGACTGAGTGCAGACTTCAGAGAAGGTCATAAGTCAAAAAGATGTTGTGTTAATTATACCAAAATGCCCTCCATGTTTACTGATGCTGGACCTGCCTCAATGTGACCACTGAGTCTCTATGACTCTTTCAAATAAACCCTAATCCAACACTAGGACAATATGATCATGTTCTGAGAGGAGGATGATGTGAATTTAACTCAGCCTCAAGGCAAGGATATTTACATTTAATATGCCAAACCTTGCCTGAAAGCAGTCAGAGGGGGTAGGTGTCAGTGGGCCTGATTTTAATTTTTCCATAATAAATTATGCACAAAAATTATATATCCGACCTTCAAGAGTCAGAATAAAAGGTTGTTTTTTTTTTTCTTTATTTTTGCTACTCAAGCATGTAGAGGATGAGATAAGCAAGGACTGCTTTGTCCACAAGGGGCACCAAAATGACACAAAACTGAAGGAGCTTTAATCAAATGCTCACTCAAGTTCAAGTTTCTGCCTGAATAACAGAATTGCGAGGCCTTATTAGAAAAGCAAACATACGTACAGGGTTTATCAATCTTGCTTTGTGTGCTAATCAGTTGCACTAACCCTCCTCCTTACAGTGTGATCAATGACTCTGTACTCAGGTCTGGAATCAGTCAGTCACTTTATCTATCTGAGCGGCACAGCAGCCTGCAAGACGAGGAGCAGGGCAGGGTTGACTTATAAGGCTGACAACGGCTCCATTCATGTGTCTAATTTAAGAGCGGCTTCTGCTCTGTCTAATTAACAATTTACTAGGCCATCAGTCAGCCTCCCCATTGTGGTATAATCAGCATCATCCACGTTCAGCCAGCTCGCCACACACTTTCACATCTGCACGGGGATTAGAAAAGGCATGCAACTTTCATAGATACACACACAGAAATGTGGCCACGGCCACTTCCAAGGACAACCTTGAAACCTCAGATTGAAAGAAGACACTGTGCGGTGAAGTGAGATGGCCAACGTGCTGCACAAATTAGCCGGCTCTGTTTTTGCACGCTGGGAGCTGCAGTAGTTTAATGTCATTGCCGTGTTAATGGAATCAACAGATGCATATTTGCTCCCATGATGGCAGGGCTTTCGTGTTGCCTATGGCAGCTGGTGCATACATGAATGGAGCTCTGCTGTTTATGCATAACCTGTGCATGCTTACTTTTAGGGCATTGAGATTTTTGATCTGCTCTGTCATGCAGAGTCTCATGTAGGCACCTTTAAGGGATTATCAGGCAGTGTCTGAGTGGATTTTTGTAAAAAGAAAAAAAAGTAGACATAAATAAATCCCCCCTGTAAAGCCTACACCCGCTTAACAACGCTACAGTTGCATAACACTAATTCATCTGGTCCTCCCTGTTTTCCCACACCCTCCTGAAGATAACAGACAACGCTCATTTTCTCCTCCTGTTATTATTTAAGGAGCGGACTTCAGCTTATTCGCAGTATTTTCTGATCATTGTCCTTCCAAACATTCTGACAGTATGGAATAATAACCCACAGAGAGGATTAAGGACTGGTAATCTGAGGGAATAGTGGATTCAATTTCTATTGCGTTCTGTAGATTTTCGCCCCTTAGCTTCCTCTGAATAAACAAATATTTTCCCTCGTTTATCCACTTAGTTCCTCTGTCTTTCTGATCAGCAGTGAAGGGCTGGTAGGCTGGGATAACCTAGAGTGCATTGTTCCAAGGATATCCGAGGCCAGAGTACCCACGTATGTGTGTGTGCATGCATGCATCGCTGGGCATCTGCGTGTGTGTTTGCATGTGCTGTATAAACAAATGCAGAGATACTTGAAGGGTGCGGCCAATTAAAAGAAGCCCCTGAAGGAGCGCGCTCATCAGAATGCAGTGAACACAGCAGATCCACTCTCCGGTCGCCTGCTGCAGTCTGTCACTGGAGCTGAGGCGTTAACACCGCCGAGGCTCCGCAGCATCAAATATTGACAGCTTCATCCTTTCAGACGTTGAGCAATCGATGAGAAATATGAATACAATGGCTCACAAGATGGTGTGTGGAAAAGGAATCCGAAATATTTTCATGTTTGCACACATTGTTTCTTGAAGATACATGAGTACTGAGCTCTAGTTCACTGAATGAGAGTATTTTGACAAACCACTCTAGGTATATGTAGTCCTCACTGCAGGGGTCTAATTTCTGGCACCCCTCCGTTTGGTCTGCCCCTGCTAGGTAAATACAATGTGATCATCCCTGCAGTATTGCTTTAATTTGAGTATTTTCTCTAGCTGTCTCCTGTTAAACTACGCTGTATGATGTAACATTGAAATAAAAGCACAACTCCATTAAAAACAATATATTTAAAAGTGAAGGTTAAAAGCTAAAGGGACAGCACGGCCAGGAAGGGTCTTTGAGATTTTGAGAGTGATTGTGGGACTGAGCTGGAGTTTGGAAAGAGACACCATTGTCATTAAAAAAAAACCCTCAAGCAGTTTCAAGATAAATTGACTTTTAAGGCATTTGGTGGAAGCTGGAAGATAAGAACCATCGCTTATAATCTTAAGTGCCAATACAGGGCTGAAATTGGTAAAAGTCTGAGTTTGATATCCTCTTTTTATATCTCAGTTTCAACTGAAATTGTCTTTTTTGATGCACACTTTAATATTTTTTTAAAGGTTTGCTTTGTAAAAAATTTTTCTATTTTACTTACAGGCAAAACCCACAGGGTCCGGAACGGCTCCGCTCCGCTCCGGCACAGCCGGCGAATCAAATCAGCAAGCATTATAATCAATGTGTGTCATTCCACAGAATCCGTCCGGCTCCGCTGCGGATCGGCTCCGGCGGCCCGATCAGATACCCAAGGCTTCTATTTTTGCCAAATGCCAGAGCACAGCGCATCAATTCAGTGCAGTGTAGCACGAGAAGCAGCGGAAGTTTTAGTCGGTTACAGAGTAAAATATCTGGTTAATTTTCAAAATAAAATAAAGTCAATACATTGAACTGTTCTTCTCTTGATAATGGGAGAGGCCAGGGTTGTGGGATGTGGGTGTTTATATACACCGCTGTTTATATACACTGATCAGCGGATCTTATTCTATGACTCCCGGGGAAACACGTGAGAGCTCGCGAGATCTCATTCAGTCTCACGAGAAATATCGGTAATCTTGCAAGTGCTTCTCCAATGGCAGATCGGATCCAGTGGGCGCTGTAGGCTTGCGGATCTGATCTGCCTGCTGGTCCGGAGCGGAACATAGCCATTCCGGATCCTGTGGGTTTAGCCTGTTAGATTGCCGTGCTCCCTTGCTCACCCCTCCTTTTAGTGAAATTCCAGAGGTGATGGTGAACACTGGGGACCAAAGTCCTGTGATGCCATCAAATGCAACTCTTTTGGGTACATAAAACACTTTTCATACAGCCAACCATTAAATATTAAAGTATCATCCTCACTAATTTTTCCATTCTGAGCTACTGTATATATATATATATATATATATATATATATATATATATATATATATATATATAGCAAGGCAAGATGGCAGCTTCCATGGAGGGGGTTCTGCTCTTCGGTAGAGTTAAAGCCTCATTCTGAACCTACTCATAACTTTAGTAGTCCACCAATTCTGTTCTGCTTAAGGACACTGATATCCTACACACTGCACATTTAAAACACTGAAAATGAACTTTTCTTTCTTTCTTTTTACTAAAAACTCAATGCCTCAAATACAGACACAAAATACACAAAGTTGAACATCTACAGCTAAGTACATCTGCCTCAAACTTCCTCATAAGCATCGACTGAAATCAGATCCTCAAGTTTCAGCTCCATAATAACATACACTGAACACCATTTGTACACCGCAGAATTAGTTTCTGATCCTGTGAATCATCATCAGCTCTCAAAGTTCAACCCCCATTGAAATTAAAAACACTGTTTTAACTGGAATATTAAAAGTTCCTAAGGTTTCTGGCTGTCTTATGTAATGATATCTCTCTGGGTGACTGATCATATAAATATAACTGAACTGGATGTGAATCATTATCAATTGGCCCAGAATCAGTTACAACAATCTCATAATGTCAGGATGATATTTTCATGTGGTTTAAAAGGAAACAGGATTTTTTGTGATAGTGTTTAACCCTGCAGTATCTGCTCCAAGGATAACAAATATAAGCTTCTACATCAGGTAAACTCTTGAAGAATGAGGAAACTTATTTTGTGTCGATGGACAGCACAGTGTACTTCAGCTCTTAATCTTCTTTTGCTTGGGTACGTGTGAAATATTCTCCTGAGATAGATCTTAGCGTGTTTCTTTTACTTTTATTCTGATCTGAACTTTGCTCAGTTATTCTCGCAACTTTGGTTTTTCCATTTCAGTCTGAGTGTTGTTTTATCAGCAGTTACAAGAAACTTTCACGCGAGCTAACACTGCAGTCCTCACTAAATCAATATCCAATAAACTTGACTGTTATTTGATAAGATGTTGACATAGTTTAGTCCTTTTGATTCATGCAGTCATTTTTGTTCAGTCCATTATGGATGTTCAGCTGTCCAATGATGATAAAAATCGAGTCTGGTGTTAGTCCAGGCAGGCCAAAAAGTCAGTCTTAGAACATGGTACTAACATCAACCCAGATCATCTGACAGAGCGGAGATTACCCTCTACACATCCAGCTGCTTAATAAATAACTGCTCCAACCTAATTTCTGCTCCCCCTATGAACCACTTTGTAGCCCACCCCAGCTCCTCCTTTTCTTGTTGCCGGAGTCATATGTATTACCTCTAATGCCTGCTCTGCCCTGTAACCTATGGAGCTTTTGCTGCTGTTCACCCCGCCTTGGTTTTTCATGTATGCATTCAAAACAGAGGAGAGGTGTGCATATTCCACATTTGCAGGTGGAAAGGCAGGAAGCTCTCATAACAGAGCTGTACAAAGTTCTCAAAAGAAGGATATCCAGGCTTTAGAAAACCAAGATTTGATGTTCCTATCAACAAAATAGCTAAGCTATGAAAGAAAAACAGATTATTTCAACGTTAATTCAGTAAATACTCTTTATAATGAAAGGTGGCTCTCCTTGCTTCAGACTTTGTTGCTCCACATACATGTGTAGAAAGGCAGGGAGCCTTAAGTATAATTTATAACCTGAAAATGATAAATTCTTTCAATCTGAACCCTCATTGTGTGCAGGTTACAACAACTGCCAAGAAGACAAAGCTTCACTTGCTAAAATGCAGATCACTCCATAGAAACCCTCTGTTCAATACCCTCAAAATTGTCTTGGGTTACAGCCCAACACACTCATCTCAGCTGTCTTGACTTCTTGAACTTCATCACGACTAATCCGAGACCTCTATCAGCCTCTATTGGTGACCAGAAAGAACTGCAACAACATTTAGCAGAACTTATTATCTCCTTGCCTTCTTGGAGCTGCTCAGGCCTCTGGCACAGGTAATGAGGCTTATTAGTCTTCATAGCTGAAAGGTCCTGCTCACAGCACCATCCTCAATTGTTAAAGTCACAGAAAGAGGTGAATAAATGAGACCGGGGAGACTGGGAGGGTCTTGAAAGTCAGTGTGAAAAAGCAAGAAATGAAAGCCAGAAATCTCAGCACCTGGCAGAGTAATCAATGAGTCAGTGGTATTGATCAACAACCTTCCTGGCTGCAGATATATTATGGTCATTTTGTGCTGTGGGGAGTTAGAAATCCTACATGCTTCCCCCTTGAACACCTGCAGAAAAGAGTTGTGCTTTTATTGGTTCTTTTTTCCGTCCTTGTGCCAATTAAGAGGAGAAACAAACTCAAGGAGAGCTCACCAGATCCAGTCACCGTGCAAGAAAAATGCAGCTTTCTTTCTTTCTTTCTTTTTCTTTCTTCCTTCCTTCCTTCCTTTCTGAATCCATGCAGTCTAAGCACTGACATGTGATAACAGACACTTTATCTGGAAAGTCACACAAACACGTCTAGTGCAGTTACATAACTTTCATACTTCTCAATTTTGAATGCATTCTCCTTTTCTTCCGTCTCTGTTCCTCGCCTCTTTTTTTCTTTCACACACACACACACACACACACACACACACACACACACACACACACACACACACACACATTAGTCCTCCCTGCCCCCCCTCTGTGTGCATATATACTCCCGAACAAAACACAAAGATGGATCAATTTCACATTCCCTTTCAGGATGCGGAAGATGCCGTGTCTCATTATCAGTTTATGGCACGATGCTTGATCCCACCTAATGCTGCTATGCAAATGAGCTATTGTTACTCTTTGTGTGTGTGTGTGTGTGTGTGTGTGTGATTTCTTTTTTTCTTTACAGCTTCAAAACAATTATCTCACCACCTCAAATGCTGCATCTTGTGGCCTATTTTTGCTAAAGAACATGGCAGATTTTTTTTGGCACAGTGGTGCTGAAACAACACCAAAGTGAATTAATTGAGAAAGAAAAAAAAAATAAACGTCCTCATTGTGTAGTGGTTTAAAACTCCTGATGAGGAAGTGTTCAGTTCCACTTTAATAGGTTTATCCATTCATTTGGGGCTTTATTGGCTCTGCTTGGCAGTAGACGGGGAGCAGCGTCACTCCCCCCTCCTCCTCCCCCAAGCAATAGCTTCCCCACAGAGTCATTTGATCATGTGCTGACTGGGTGAGAAAGATTGCAAATTAAAGTCTCCCCTTACTGTGACACCTCAAACACAAGACGCGACAGGCCGTATTCTCCACAGCCAAATCAAGAACCTGAAGGATGGATACCAATTATAATTGCAGCCAGACATAGGGTGTGTGTGTGTGTGTGTGTGTGTGTGTGTGTGTGTGTGTGTGTGTGTGTGTGTCTGTGTGTGTGAGGATTCTGGTGCTAAATCACACCTGCAGCTGGATGATGAAAACCTGCCTGAAGGGTCTGAGAGACCTGGAGCCATTCTGTGCAAATGAAGAAGGGTGTGCACTTGGATTTGCATCAGCCTGTGACATATCAAAGAGAATCCACGAGTAGACGAGCCTCTTTGATTTTGCTCGTCGTGAGATGCAAAGTTACTCTGTAGGCCCACAATAATCTGCGGCTTTCTTCCCATAATCCTGCAGTTTTAGCCAAGTAATGAACAACGTGAGGAAGAGAGTTCAGCACGTTGCGTAATCACCGTGTGTGTGTGTTTACAGGGGTGGGGCAGGGTGGAGATAAGGGCTTTCCACGCGCTCTTGATGGAACAAATTGGATGTTGCATACATGCACTTATTTCGCGCTGGTGCTGCATATTAAACATCACGTGCCGTGTCAGACCTATTCTGTCTGCGCTGCACTGAACATGTTTACACTAAAGACGCACGAGCGCAATCAGGCGTGCAGGAACACACACACATGCGCTGACATACCAGGTGCTTCCTCCTATCAGCCCCTCCTCCTTCCACCGATCAGGACACACTTGCACAACACACACACGCGCGCACACGCACACACGGCTCATGCGCCGCTTCTGCCAAGAAACAAAAAATCTTTGCTGTATCCGGCCGGAATTGAGGAGCATCCCTGTCCTCATTAGAAAAGCTCCAGGTCCAGTCGTTGAAAGCTACATTAAGACCCAATTTCCTGTCTTTTTTGGCGGTACCCAGAGTGGGACGTTGCCACAAAAACACCAATTATAAGCCAAGGAGCTGGAGAGTAAACGCGGGATTATTGGGCCGCCAAGCGGACCATCTGCAGACTTCATCAAAAGCTCATCCCACCGAGTCCAGGCGGAGCTGATCGGATGCCCGGGTTAAGTTGCGATATCATACGGAGCATATTGACCGCCACAAACACTCAACGGCCTGTCACGCGCGCGCACAGACATGCAAAGGTTGCACGCGCAATATCTGATGTGAATTACGGCTCAATTAAGAGCGGCTAAGTCAAGGTCGTTTACAGCCGCAATATCCATAACTGATATTGACGCTGCTTGTCAGATCCGCTCAGAGAACACCATAATAATGTGTTACCGTGCAGATTAAAAGGTGCCTCTGCGCATTCTGGCACTTATACAGCAGTTTATGCAAACCCAGCGGAGCCAGCAGAGTAAACTCCAATCAGGACAAGTGATTTATCTCAATGTGGGTTTAGTCGCTGCGCAGTGACCCAGCAGGATCCCCCTGTCAGCTCTATGTGAAAACTTTGCAAACATGTCCTATCGTCTAATGCGTACTCACCATCAATAATTACGGTCTTCATGATTTAGATAGGGGTGAAATCCAGACGCTGTATTAAATCCAAGTGGAATGAATCCCAGCGTGTGTGCGGACGGATAGGATATCCGCTGTTTATTGCAATTTTTGTGCTAATTGCAAATCCCGTGCGCGGCAAGAGACGGACAGCCTAAAGCAAGCCCAGCACCCTCCCTGGAAACTTTAGCCGTAGGTCTTCCCGAGTGGGGAGCCACGTCTCCGGCTGCACCCGAGCTCAGTCATTTGGACGGGGGTATTCAAAAATAGTCAGCAAATAAACATCCAAAGTGGAATCAGTAGACTCGCCACCAGCAGTCGACACCTCCCCAAAAAAATATAGGACGCGCAAAAACAGCTCCAAGAGGAGAGCTCAAAGTGTGGAAAGCACAAGTGGGGTATCAGAAGAATCAACGACTCAGGCGAAAAATCAGTATCGGATCCATGTTTGTGAAATCGCAGCACATATCCAGTCCGATCACCTGCCCCGCTTGTATATTTCCCAAGTAGACGGAGAAAAGTGTGGTGGATGCGCACGGATGGCGGCCGCACTGGTGAGCGTCAGTGTGCGTTTACCGCGGGGAGGTGGAGAGTGAGGGCGGGGCAGCGAGGTGCGTTTGGCGGAGCAGAGAGAGCAAGAGGGAGAGAGAGCCTTCAGAGATGAATGTTTTATGGGCATATAACACGCTGCAAAAAATAGTCCTCTCAAAAGTGGAAGGTTCATGTTAAAACAAAGCTCAGCCAAAAAGGAAGAAAAAGATTTGACGTTTGTCTACATTTTTGTGCATCTCTGCCTGGTTTCACTCCAGTTATTTCTAGAAAATCTGATCTGGTACATACACACGAATGAAACGGGAAATAGGTTATTTTACATAACTGCTGGACTTTTTGTGGACTCAGTCTCAGTCTTAATGACTTACTGAGACGGACATTTCTTGCAGCGCAGGGCTGCGCTCTAATGAATGTTTTATGTGCTGGGGGTGTGGGAGGGGGGGTGCCAGTGGGTGGGTGGCGAGGTGACGTGAGGCGAATCTATTTGGATCGGACACGACCAGGCACGCACATCATGCATATGACCCCCCCCCCCAAAAAAAAAAAAAAAAAAAAAAAAAAAGGGATAGGCGAGGAGGCAGCGTGGCCTGCTGGTGGGACCCGCTCCTCCTCCCCGGGGGGACAGGACAGTGAAGCTGCTGTGATGGCGGAGGAGGAGTGTTAAAAACCAAACTGGAAGAAAAGAGAAAGATTTCAGTTCTGCTTGGTTAACCGGACAGACAGAGAAACATTTCAAACCTGCAAAGTTACCACAGATCAGAGACTGAACGGTTTCCCTCGTTTATTTTATTCATATATCGAAAAGACGGCATTCCTACATCATAATATAACCCTAATTATGACATTTTGTACTATTATTATTATTACTATTATTATTATTATTATTATTTTTATGACGATGACAGGGGGAGATAATATAGAGAAAAACTATCCTATCTGTCTGAGAGCCTGAAAGCTTTGCATGTCCTTCCCTGCAGAGAATCGGGCGTTTCACATGCCGTTTCCATGCCCTTGATATGATAATGCATGCTTTTACACAGTGATTAGAGCACTGAGAAGCATGCACACATATTGCCATTGGTGATGGGACCGAAAACCAGTCTGCAGCTCTGCTTGGTTTGCTGAAACCCAGGGGAATTGGATGCACAGCACAGCAGCAGTGTTATTATCTTTGGGTAGCACACGCCCCCTACTGGCGAGGATGGAAATATAAATTCAGGACCATGGACAGAGACAGAGGGAGCCCATCTGAGGAAAAGATCCTCCTCAGACAGAGAAGGAAATAAGACTGCGTAGAGAAGCTGTTACCTTGGCGCATATTGTTATGTGTGTCATAATACATGATACAGCACGAGATACAAGTCTTCTATGCTAGCCAGAAAAGCACCTGAATGCTGCAGAAACACGTGAAGTTTACTTCCAGAAAGAAGCTTCCTGGTCTAACAAAGTGGGTGGATTTTGCAATAACTCAGTAATTTGATATTGTAAACACTACAGATTATATATCACATGTGGAAGTCCTGAGGGAACCAATCAGCATTAAGACAAATGGTTAAGGAACCAGGTCTCAATTTGTATACCTCGCAAAAGATGCTAAACTACACGTTGCATGCATTACAACAGCATAGCTCTGTAGTAGAAGAGTCTAGGTGTTAAACTGGTCATGAAAAATCTTGAGCTACTGCATTTGACATGTTGTCTTTGCACCAAACTCAAATAAAAACAGGCTTCAGATTAACAACAATTCATCAAAAGTCTGTTTTTATTTGCATCCAAAAGCATCACAACTCTTATGCAGTTGGGGTCGTACAAGTCTCTACCTAAAAGCAATTTACTGAAAATATTAGATCGTGTTTTGTGGCAAGCTGGCTCGTGATCACATGGTTGCATTGATTAGACTGTATTACTGAGACTGTGAGAGAAAAAAGCACAGAGATTGCCACAGGGAGCAGGTGAAACCACAGCCAGGTGGGTGGTGCAGCCCAGTGAAATGGATGTATGTGCAGCCAGCTAATCCCAAGCTTACAACCACCACCAATATTGAATCACACCATCAGAATATGTCATTGAGCCACTCGCCTGGTATTTGCTCACAGCGGAGACCAGCAGGGCCAGATGGCCGATGGAGACTCAGTGCAAAGCCGCCGCCACAGCAACCTGCTGAGAACCAGGTCACCCCGAGAGAACAGGAAATGCTGTCACCTTTCACACTCGTCTGTGTGTCTCCTGCTTTTTCTGAATGCATCAGAGGGTGTGGGCAAACACGCGGGGTGTGTATAATCCTGTCCAGCATTTGTATGCTGTGTGACAGTGCTCCCTGGAGTGTACTGTAACTGAAGAAGAGGCTCTTCTTCAGCTGGATGTACCGCTAAAAGTTATAATCAGGAGCCGTTATCAGCACTTCTAACAGGAGAGAGGAAATACTCAGCCCAGTTCAGAATAACATTTTTTTCAGGAGTGTGTTTTAAAGTGTTGTCATTCTCACTGTTTGCTGTGGGCAACTCATCCAAAACCAGAAACATCATGAAATAAAGAGGACCATGAGAACTTTCCATGAATACTTTATAAGGGAAGGACCTTTTGTGAAACGCAAAATCTGCTTTCTTCTGCAAGTAGGGGGAGTAGTTCAATCTCGGAATGGACCATATCTAGCCTATCGTCCCGGAAACCTTATCAGCATCCATGTAAAAATGTGAATGAACACTGTCACAGTATCACTTTTCACCTCATAATTATAACAGACAAACAAAATCACAATATATATATTATTGCACTGCAGTAAAGCCTGGTGTGAGTGTTCCGGCTTGTGTTGACCTTTAAAGAAGATAAATCGTCCCCAAAACACTCATTTATTATGATTTTATCTTGACATTTTTATGATCCTGCAATTTGGGTTGCTTTATTGTGAACGCATGCTTTTATTTTGAAATGACATAAATGCTATTTCAAATATACTGTTAGTTACAGAACTGGATTAAAACATCTGTAGGAAATATAAAAATCAAATATATTAGCAACTCTAATGAGGTGTATGTTAGCTCTAGTTTCACACCCTGTAGAACAGCTTGAGCTCGAGATTGCTTTTTCTGCTTTTTATCCATCTTCCACTAAAGCACATCCACTTATAATAGTCAGATTATGAGGAGTCTGATTCGGTGTGATTTCAATCAGACTAACATGTCAAACATGTATTTCGACAGCCCAGTTGTAAACATATCCAACACAGAGAGCCTTTACCTCTTTTTATTGGCCTGTAGGGGGCAACCATGCTGGTGTCAGATCCAGTTACATGACTAGCTAGGAAAATGAACTCACTTTGCAGGTGTTTTAAAACCCATATAAACATTTTTAATGAGCTTATGGCCTCAATTAGTAGCATCAAGTCCTTTTAAACACAGCCTGATTATTTAGTTTCCATCTTATTTAGAGGTGAAATGATCGAGGTTTGCTCTGGGGTTTGGCTACCTGAGACCATTGTATCAAGCCTGTTTTCTCTGATGGTGCCAAAGAAAAGAAACACTGAGCGCCACAATTGAAATTTCAAGGGTCTAAAAGAGGGTTCACAAACCAGTGAATGACATTAAGGTTGCTACATCTCTTCCTTTCAGCCAGCCAATGGCTGCATATAAAGAGGATCTTAATTAAGTCACCGCATACACGCGTGGCCCCAACATTACATTCCCTGACTATAACCCCGTCTAAATGTATCCTCAGCTGGAAAATTCTCATTTGGCTCAGTGGTGAGGATGTCTCCTTGTGCCAGGAAGCGCAGGGTGCACTGTTACTGATTACTATACCTCCCTCAGCTCATTATACAACATGCCCACTCACTCCTGAGTCCTCCGCTCATTCCATTTCAGTATATCACAATGATATGCACCAGCAAGTGAAAAGGACACAGGTAAATTGTCACGGGAGATTCGAGGCTGGAGGCCTTGTACAACAGGCGACTGTAAATTAACTAAGGGTGGATCATTGCCATGCCAGTGGAAAAAGAAAAAAAAAAAAAAAAAGCGAGAGAGATTGGGGATCTTTAATTCATGACAGTAATGAAATGAGTCAAGCTGTTGAGTCTCAAAGGCAGAGCATCCCTGGGCTGAGGCTCCATTATTCTTTTCATCACAAGTCTGATGGATCAAAAGGAGAACAGGGGCATAAATGACTTTCTTTGGTAATGGGAAAGTTAGTTGTGTCCCGCTGCCACAGGAGCTGCAAGAAAGGACGGGTGTTAATTACAGTTTGTGAATAAAAAGCTTAATTTGAAGCCTTTTACGAACTCCAGATTAAGGGAAAAAAAGTTCCAACATGATTCGACGTGTGTGTCAGAGGTCAGGGAGGTTTTCCAGGGCCACCCACTCAGAAATGAAACTCACATTAAACACAGCCACAGTCATTTCTCCATTCAGCTGGACCGTCCTTATCTCTTCAATATAGAGGACCGGTATATGGAGATAGTCCAGAGTGAAGCACCAAATACAGCCCTTTGGTTTTATAACACATTCTCTGCTTCATTGCTGGGTCATAGCTGAGCTGGAAAAGTACATTTGTCACTCCGGGCTGTGCCTTTCTTACTACAGTTTCCACGCTTTAATCTGCCTGCATGTGGTGTGACAAGGAATAAAAAAGTTTGAATTCGATAACAGGAACAAAAGTCAAATATCAAAAAAAAAAAAAAAAAAAAGAGAGAGAGAGAGTGAGAAAGAGAGATCAGCCTTGATGAAAGACCCCTACTGGCTAAGTTTCACAGAGGAATATGGTAGATGGTAGGTAGCAACTGCACTGAGCTCTGAACAGAAAAGCACAAAAGTTTGATACAGATTTATCGCTGTGTGAGAGATTGCTTGAGCAAATAGTTCAACAATTTAAGCTGTAAATAAAGTTTAATTGTTTAAATTGAGAGAAAAATAAAAACTTTATTATCTACAGTATAAAAATAGTGTTAAAAATTCAGAGAAGCTGGCCTCGTGGTTTGAGTGTGTCCCAATAGTACAGATTTTACGTCTCCAGCAGCTGGCCCAGATTCAATTCCAGCTTCTCGCGATGTCATTTCACTGCTCTCTCTCCCCACTCAGGCATTAAAAAGATACATCTGACAAAACCCCTTCCAAGAATCACCATCTGTAAACAGAGTTCCTCACTGCATCCACAAATACCGGTCAAAACTAAACCACATTAAGAGGTAACTATAAGAAATCATGATCATGAAAGCCTGGGCCCTCTTTTGATCATAAGTCTGATAGGAAGCCCAAACCAGCTTATTTAAGGCAAGAGCTGTCAAAGCACATACCGAACATTTGACATTCCTTTTGGAAACCAGGAAAAAAAAAAAAGTGCTGTATGTTATCTAATACAGGGATGGAACTAATTGTGGGGTCAGC